CTAACAGATTTTGCCTTGCAGCCTGTGTATGCTTCTGCCTTCAGTCCCTGGACTGAAGGATTCGTTAGCTCTTCTAGAGTATGGACACTATTCTCTCCCTCTAGCTCCCTCCCCTGCCCTAGAGGGGCACTCCTCTGGAGTGGAGGAGGACATGCCAAGTGGGGACAGACAGATTGGGAGGAGAGCCCCATGACAAGTTGTAATTCAGGACCCCCACACACACATCCTACTAGGACACTGCCCTGTACTGAGGGCCCTGGTCTCAACTAGCCAGTCCAGCTCCTCTCTTCCTCAGAGCTCCCAAGTCTTAGAACTCCAAAACCATGTGGGGCCTCTCTCAGTAGAGAAGGAGCCACAGGACACTACCCCTGAGGCAAATGTCCTCAGACTTTCCCATCTGCTCAAGAGAAGAGGGTGATGGAGCCTGGGCAGGGCTGGGCTGCAGGAGACTTCCTTTCCCCAGAGCAGAGGTGGTCTGGAATGTGCTCTCACACCCTCCTCCTGCCCAGGAGAAGCACCTCTGAGCCACCCTCAGGACAGCTGCCCCCAGTAGGGTCCCTCTCACGTGCCACCTCACCCCAACTCGGACTCTAAAAATGGTTCCCTGGTTTTCAGCCTCAGCGCCTGCCCACAAATTAGTGTCTCCAACAAGGTCCCTCGGGACATGACTTCAGGGAGGCCCTTGGGGGAGCCAGGAGGCCTCAGTGAAGGGAGATGGTGTTGGCAGGGTCCCTTTCTGAGGGGACAAGGGTGGGTAAGCTTCCTCTCCCAGTTTCTAGGACACCCCCCCCCAGGCCACCCAGCCTCCGTGTGACAGCTCTGTTCTCCTTGTCGAGGTAGAGGGACAGACAATCTTTCCACCCACTGTAACTCCCTCCCCTCACATCTACCAGCAGTTCAATCAGCTTTGCCCTCAGCCACTGTCCTGGACGCTCCTGCGCTGAGAAAGAGGAGATCGAGGAGAAGCAGCGGCCAAACCTGGGCTCCCAGAGGGTGAATCCATAAGCACGCGGATTAACTGGGAAACCAAGCTGGGGATCCGGGAAGGCTGAGCTCACCATTTGTCTAATCTTTAGTCTGAGCTGTCGACTTGGAATAGGAAGAGCCCTCCTGGGGCTCAGGACATCCATGCCTCAGGACATCACCTGGGCCGGTGCTCTCTACTGAAGCCCTGGGAGGGTGCTAGCGGACGGCCAGGGAGGAGCAGGGAGAACCGTGCAGGGTGCGTACTCACAGGTAAGCCGTCAGGGGGTCCAGGTCCCCCGGCACGGCGGAGAGCCCAAGCTCAGAGCAGTCAGCGGACAGCATGATGCCGTCCTCCTGGCAGTGGCAGGAAGCCGGGCAGGCTGCGGGTCCCGGGCCCGGCTGGCGGGCGCCACCGACACACCGGGAGGCGCACAGCGCGGCGCACAGCCACAGCGCCCGAAGCGCGAGCGGGCTGGGCATCTCAGCGGCTGGGCTCCTGGGGCACCTGGCGGCGACGGGCGAGCGCTCGCCTCCTATTCCCGCGCGGGGCGGCAGGCTGCACCGTCGGTGGGGACCGCCCCGTGGGCTCTGCTTGGTGGGGCGGCGGCGGCGAGAGCGCGAGGACGATGCAGTCAGAGAGGGGCAGGCATTGTTGAGTGATCTTCGTTATACAGTTTCACAGGCTGGGCTTGGCAAGGGAGGGAAACACGGGCGGAGGAGGAGTCAAGGAAACATTCTACGCTGCGGCAGCTAGCTCCCCTTCCCTCTTTCCTTCCTTCCGAGCTGGCAGGCATTTCATCCAGGGAAAAAAAAAAAAAAAAGGAAGAAAACCAAACCGAGCAGAACCCAGTATGTCAAGGATCTGCCTGCACGTGTTTGGAAACAGTGTCCCAGAAGGGAGCCTGGGCCACTGGGGCTGGGGATCCACTTGCCTATGCAGACAGCCAGGGGGTCACATGGGAGCTGGAGGAAGCCTTTTGGAAGAGACGTTAGAGTTCCCATAGGTCCTCGACCTGGTAACCTTTTACACTTGAGGGAACTGAGACCCTAAGAAGTGAAGTGACTGGCTCAAGCTTAAAACAGCAGGTGAGAGGCAGCCCCAGAAGTGGAACCCAGGGTCAGCCCTCTTCACCATGTCTCCTAGGGGCCAGGAGATTGAGGGGTTGTCTGAAAGCAGTCAGGCTGTGGCAGATTCTCCTGAAGGTTGGGATCGGGCAGGGGGGAGCAGTGAGGAGTAGCCTCCTCCCTGTGGGAACATTCCCCTATACAAAGAAATGGGTGTGGATTTCCATCCACTGAGTGTCCTTTACATGCAACCTTGGTCAAGTTTAACTCCCAGGGATCACCTTGATCCCTGCTCTGAGGACCCAACAAGGCCCGGGGTCTTCAGAGGCTGTCTAAAAGTCAGCTCATTGGCGCCACCTGGAGGTTCAGTGCTGCAACTCAACCACCTCGAGACAAATCCCAGGGCCAGTTGACCGCAGCCCCAGGGCCTTGGGGATGCAGGGGCTGAAACTGGGGTCACGTCCCTGTTCTCTCCTTAGACCAGACTGGACTGCCTTCATGTAGCCTCTTTCTTTCTCTGGCTTCTCCCACGGTGAGCCAAGGCCTGGTGCAGAGTTGGATGGAGCAGGCTGTGTGTCTCCCTCCTCACATCCTTTGCCCTCCCCATGGTTCACCCAGAGTGGACATCAGAAGCCTGGGACCTCACAGGCAGCAAGTTTCCTTCAATCCCATACCACCAGGACCCTCTTACCAACACCGTTCCACTCTCTGATACTCCTGATGACTTCCCAGGGCTCAAGTACCAGCACAGCTGGGCCAAGAAGCCAGCAAACTTTGAGCGTAGGCCTCCTGTTTGGGCCATGACCCTGAAACTGGAAGATGAGCATCCTAGAAGGGCCAACTAATGACCCTGAGCAACCAAAAAGACCCACAGATGGGGCCTCTCTGCTGTGTGGCCTTAAAAGGCACTTCCCCTCTTATAGGGTCTCCATTTCCACCTCAGGTCTGCCTGTATTTCTGGTCTCACTCATCCATACCTTGGCTCCCCTTCCCCTCTCCCACACCTGGTTGCGGCTCCTGCTGCTCCAATATCAGGGGCCCAGGAAAATCTAGAAACACCATGGTTGAGCCTGGCTGGGGCCTCCAGCAGCATCTCCACTTGGGTAGCCTTGGGCTAAGTCTCCAGCCTGTCCAATTGAAGGTCATTATAGGACCACCTCCATCCTGATGAACACAGCATATGAAGTCAAGGTTAACACTGAGTCCTCTTGGGGGAGTATCAGAGCCTAACCCCATTCAGGGGGAGCTCGTGATTGAACTGAAAGCCTACATCTGCTCCACTTCCCCAACCAGGCCTGAGAAGGGCCCTTCTTTGTCCTCTGACCCCTTGCCCATTCTAGAAACTGTTTGGCCAATGAGAGCTCTGCTCTCTCTCCATTTGGGGTCTCTAATTCCATTTCAGGGCTCCTGCTCTTTTTGTCCAGGCGCTCTCAATATTCTCCCAGATCCCTTCCCTGGCATTGTGTCTTTAGGTGCCCTGCCCTCCAGAACCTCAGTCTGACCAGGTAGGCCAACAGGAGCTCCTGGCACCATCAGTGATCATGTCACATGGTGTGTGGTTCAGCCCTAAAGTGCTTTCCTCCCTGTCCCCTCCCCCACCTTGTCCCCACTCTCTTTCCTTGTCTTAGATTTCTCCTGCTTTTACCCTTCCCCAAATCCCCTCAGCTTTCTCTCTCACTTCCCTGCTATGTGGTGGGGAGGAAGGAGGAGAGCTCAAAGGAGCAACTCTAGCCTGAGGAGAAGTGTGGTAGTTCAGTTGGTGTGTCAACTTGGCTGGGCCTGGTTGAGTGGCTGGGCAGCTGGTGGTAGTTATTCCCCATGATGAGACTGGCAATCAACTCCATGGTGGGATCTACCACAAGCAGCTGAGTAGCTGCTTTTGGGGTGTGGCCTGTTTCCTGTATATAAGGAGAAGCCTTGGGAATGGTCTCTAGCCTATGGCACACTTGGACCCTGCATGTAGTCATGTTGTTGTTCAGCAGCCTGCCATGCTCTGCCAACCTGGGGTCTTACAATGGACTTGAATTGATGGCCTGCCATGTGATTTGGTAACATTGGGACTGTGCCATTTTACTTGTCAATCTTGGGCTTGGCAGCCTCAGCAGTCAGGGCCTGTCTGAGTGAAGAAAAGCCTTTAGCTTCAGTGGGCCAGGAGCTGGAGGCAGAGCTGAAGCCCAAGGCTGAGGGACTTTCACCAGCCTCTAGAGCCTGGCACTTTGAATTTGGACATAAAGCATCCAAACTGTAAGAGAATAAACTCCTGTTTGTTAACCCATTTGTGGTGTATTTCTGTCAGAGCAGCACTAGGTAACCAGAACAGGCAGCCTCCCATGGGAGCTTTGAAGGCTCAGTCTCCTGCTTTCCCAGTCACTCGTGGCTACCAAGGAGGGGTAGCAAGCACTGCCTGAGAGTGGCTACTGGGGACTCTGGCAGGACAAAAAGGCTGGGGATGGCAGGGGAGAGAATCAGACAGCAGGGAGGTTCTACTACATGCAGGGGGTGGCAGGTGAGAAGGGGGAACATTGAGTAGGTGGGATTCTGAATCCAGGCCTTAGCACTACAAGATACTAGAGGTGGAGAGACTGAAGTCTGAGGAAACTGGAACATTGGAAGAATGGAGGGTAGGGAAGTCTGGATGAAAGCTAACAGCATACAGGCTGTGGGTCAGCCAGTTCAGCCAGGCCTCAGGACCCACCTCCCAGCCCTGCTCCATGTTGGCCCTCTGAGACCTTTGTTTTAGGCCCCATGGCCCTCAAGTCTTTGAGCTCATTTCTTTCCTCTTCAGAGGGTGGATGACAGAACACATTCAACTTCAAGCTTTTCCACATGTCTTTATTCCCCAACTCTGCCCCTTCGCAGCAGTAGGCCCTCCCGGGGAAGCTGGCCCCTAGGGGGTCTGCAGGAGTCTATACTGCCCAGAAGGGCACAGACCCATTCTGCTCCTAAGCTGTTCGGTGATCAGTGCTGACTCAGGGAAGCTCATCCACCAGTGCGCTGTTCAGACAGTTGTAGAGGTAGATATACTGCTCCTGGAAACAGAGGTGGGATGAGAAGCCTCAACCCATCTACAGAAATCTAACCAAGAAAGTTTTCCTTGGTGTCTCCTAGGGTCCTATCCCAGCTAGAGAGACTATAGCGGCCCACAGCGCCACCTGGTGGTTATACAAATGATCCAGCCTAGAGGTGTCTACGGTAGTGGATTGTCCAGTCTTCCTTCTGAGAAGTGGCTGGTGGGTTTGAACCACCAGCCTTCTAGTTAGCAGTCAATTACCTTAGATACTATGCCACCAGAGCTCCTTTATTTGGGAGGTTTTAGAGGCATCCTATAGCTTGCGGAAGAACCTTCCCCACCTCCCCGCCCCTTCCCACAGCTGGGCCCATCTTTGCCTCTCACCAGCGTTGGGGTCATAAGGCCACAGGCCTGTGACTGCTGCAGGGCCACGTTAAAGACATCCACGGTGCACTCAGCCCCTGCCTGCTGCAGCAGCTGCTCCATGGCCAGGAAGATGCCCAGTTGGGCCACACCTTTGCTGCAGTGGGCCCAGAGTTGGATGGGGTGCCTCAGGGGATGGAAGGTGAGGGAGGAGATCCAGGTATGAGGGAAAACCCAACTTGGGCCAGGGGACTGTAAGGGATACTAAGAACTTGGTCAGCCAGCCTGGGCCCAGGCAAGGAAATGGTTCATTCCTACCGTATCCCTAAGAAACCCAAGAGCAAGGGGAGGAGGAGATAGGGCATTGGGAGACTGTGCCCTTTGACCCATAACCCAAGCATGGCTCAGTAAGATGTGAGGCCCTGCCAAAGGGGCAGTGAGAGGGTCCTGGCACCCACTGCCCAGGCCTTTGTCCACAGCACCTGGAGTGGCTGAGCAATGTGCCAGGCTTCTTGCTCTTGCCCTGGTAGCAGCACTGGCCCACAGCAGCCAGGAAGGGCAGCAGGGTGGCAGCAGGCAGCTCACGCCCAGGCTCCCAGGATGGCAGCTGCAGCTGCTGCACCTGCCTCTCCTTCCTGCTGTCCCCCTGGGGCAAAGACCCAACAGCATTAGTGCCAGGAAAACAGAGGGAAGCTGGCATAGGATGGCCCACCTGCCCCACTACCTGTGGCTCCAACACCTACATGGGTGACCCTTAGGAGGGTGCAGGGCCAACCTGCTGTGTTGCTCTCAGCCATCCAGTGCACAGTCACTGTATCCGTAACAATAGGACACTTCTCCGTTGGCCAGAACTCCTGAGGAGTGGGGAAGATCTGAGTCAGAGCCACTCAGGCAGCTTCCTAAGGTCTCTATGCAGGCCCTGGCCATAGGCTACACCACGCTTCACCCCCAACTCCTAAGCCTCCCATCCTCTGTCTTCCTCTTCCTCCCTCTAGTGCCTCCTCACCTTCTCCTGCATGTCAGGTGGGCACAGGGAGACCAGCACATGGGCCCCATGCTCCCACACCAGCTGCCAGAGCTCCTTTGGCCCTGCAGGACCCGTCAGTACCACATGGTCACGGCCAGAAGGCCCACCCTGCAGAGCACAGCTCATTGGCTCAAGAGAAGGCATTTCTGCCCATCCCACAGCTCTAGGAGCCCTCAGCAACCCTAACCCAACCCAGGAGGCCCAAATGGTCAGAGAGGACAAGCAAAATGGTGGCAAGCCCAGCATCATCTCACGGGGAAGAGCCAGGCTTCAGGCATCTCATCAGGGGGACTCTCCTCCAGAGGGGAAAATTGCACTTGAGAACGATCGTCTGTGGGAAGATAGTGAGAGTGAGGTTGCCAGAGGTCGTGTCAGATGTCCCTGACCCATGCTTGCCGCCCCCCTCCCCCCCGCCCCCGGTCACAGTCCGCGCACACTCGCAGGAGACACTGCTGTGTTGCTCATAGCCAGGAGGGGGCGTCCGAGAGCCAGTCTCTTCCTTGATAGCCTGGAGCAGAAGCTGGAAGAGAGATGGACACCGAGGCTGGGCAGAGCCCACAAAAGTACCACCCGAGCGTAGAGGAAACTTATCATTCACCCCCTGGCCTGAAGCTTACCTCGTACTCCTTCAAGAAGCCAGCATTGGCGTTGGCCGCCCTCTTGGCGCAGGCCTGCGCAAAGTTCTTCACGGAGATGGGCCGGGACCTGGGGGAAGGGTGGAGAGGGGAGAAGGCACACCAGCTTCCCCAGCTCCCGCTCCTAGTCTTCTGGGCTCTGCCGGTGGACACGATGGACAAGAGTGGGACCTTTTGGTGGGAGGGTACAGGAAACCTGTGCCTCACCCCCACAGGGAGTAAGGGTTGCTGAGACGTACTCTGAGGTGTCCGAGGGCCCTTCCAGAATCTTGTTCAGGAGACAGCTGTGCAGGAAGATGTACTGGCTCTGGCAGGAGCAAAGAGGGAGGTCCACTGAGGGAGCGTGGTGTACCAGAGAGATTTTCCAGGCCCCACCAGCAAGACCAGGACAGGGCAGAGTGAGAAGGATGCCAGTTGGAGAACTGCCCTGTGCTGTCCCACAGTGTCAAAGCTGGCAGAGCCATGCTCCCCCTTCCCTTCTACAGAAAAAGAAACAGAAGCCCAGATGGGAGCGTTCCTGCCCTAGGGTCCTCTGTGTGTTCCTAATGAGCTCCTTTGCCTTGTCCCTGTCACCACCCCCAGACCCTGTGGCCCCCACAGCCATCCACCTCCCACCCACTCCTTCAGGGTTCCAGCTGCCCAGCCCAGCTTGCTGCAGCCCTCACCCACCGGGGTTTGGATCATGAGGGGTCGGTGTATCCGGAGTGCATACACAGCGTTGAACACATCTACCATCTGCTCCTCCTCCAGCTGCTGCAGCAGCCTTGTCAGGGCCACAAAGGTGCCTGTCCGACCCACACCCGCACTGCAAGGACAAGTCCTGGGGAGCTGAATGAGGGAAGGAACTACCCGGTCCCCTCTGGCCCCAGAGCACTCCCCCCAGCCTTTTTTTACCCAAGTCCAGGCAGCAGACCCTTCCCACCACCCACCTGCCCTCACCTGCAGTGTACCAGGATGGGCCACCGGCCCTGGAAGGCCCTCGCCTGCTCCTGTACCAGTTGCACAAAGGTGAGCAGGGAACTGGGGGCCTCAGGGATGCTGTGGTCAGGCCAGGTCGTGAACTGCAGCTGCTTCACTCTCCGCTGCCGTTGCTCAGAGCCCTGAGTAAGGGGGCAGGAGCAGGGGAGTGGGCAGGGATGTCATGCTGCTCCTACTTATCAGTAGGAGCAATGTTATTCAACATTCAGTCTGAAGGGGGAGGTATCCCCCCTGCCCTCACTGGTTCCAGCCCTGAAACTTTCTTCACCCGAGGGCAGGGGGGATACTTCCCCCTTCAGACTGAATGTTCCTTGAAGGCAGTGCCTATGTCTTCCCCCTCCATCTGGATGCCTTCTGAGGCCTTGGATCCTTTTCTATAGAGGGGGTGCCCAGGCAGAGGGGTGATTCTGGTCTCTGGCTTCCTACCCCAGGAGGTCACTTTGGGAAGGGAGATAGGCACAAGGGGGTGGGGTGAAGAAGGGAACCCTGAGCTGAGCACGGGGCAGGACAAAGCCTTTACTTCTTGCCCTACTCTACCCTTGACTCACTGTGTAATCTCGACTACACCCTTACCCTTCTCTGTGCCTCATTACCTCTTCCTTAGAAGGCCTCCACCATCTTCCCTATCAACCGTTTTCCCAAGAAAATCAAAAACCCTGGGCAGTAGTCAAGTGCTTGAGGTCCTTAGGAAGAAGGCCTTGGGGACCCAGGAAGTGACGCACCCTTCTGTGGGAGTCTCAGCACTAACGCCCACCCTACCCCTGCCTTTCTCCCTTGGACACGCACGTGCTGCAGCTGGAATTCACGCTTGGTCCACTCATCCTTGGGCTCCTCAGCCAAGAGGTGAATAGTGATGTGGCCATGGGTGATGGGGGTGGTGTCAGCTGGCCAGTAATGCTCACACAGCACCTGGAGCCAGAGGGTGAGAACGAGCAGAGGGTGATTGCAGCCCCAACCCTATCACCACCACCTCCAAAACTTTTCCAACCCCATAGATGGGTGGACAGGCTGAATGATCAGGTATGTCTAGGCAGGGGGGAGTATGCCCATGACCATGTATAGGGTTGGCAAATGATTCTTCTACAAGCGTACTTGTATGTGCTGTAAGAATATCCAGATGTATAGTAGAGCTGACAAAGGACAAGGTTGTGGTAGCTTCTTGGCCATAACCAGCTACCTGGTGGGGGCAAGTAGTTGGAACTGTGGGCTCAGGACCATGGTCGCAGGGACAGCAAGCTCAATTGGCATAACATACTACACAAAAAAAAAAGGAGCTCTGGTAGCACAGTGACTAAGGCATCTGACTGCTAACCAGAAGGTTGGAGGTTCAAATCCACCAGCCATGCCATGGAAGCAAGACTGGGCAATCTACTTCCATAAAGATTTACCACCTTGGAAACCCAGTGGGGGTCACTATGAGTTGAGATCAACTCCATGGTATTGAGTTTGGTTTGTTTTGTTTTACTACACAAAAACATTGTTCTACATCCTACTTTGATGAGTACCGACTGGGGTCTTAAAAACTTGCAAGCAGCGATCTAGATGCAACAATGGGTCTCTCCTCGCCCAGAGCAAAGATGAATGAAGAAAACCAAAGATGCATGGAAACATTTAGTCCAAGGGACTAGTAGGCCATGTGATCCTCAGCCTATATGACCATGAGACCAGAAGAACTAGATGGTGCCCAGCTACCACTGTCAACCACTTGGAGGGGGATCAGTGTAGGAGATCATGGATATAGAATGGGAGAACAACGTGTAACAAAACTCAAAATCATTAAAAAAAAAAAAAAGGCTTGCTGGTCTAATAGAGCTGTGAGACCCCTGATGAGACAACGGCCCTAGTTACCCTTCAGGTCTGGAACTGAACTCACTTCTATGGCGTCCAGCCAAAGAATAGACAGGTGTATGGGGTGAACATTTACATCAGGTAGATTCACTCATTGGAGTGATCCATCGTGGGAGAACAGAAGGGCAGTGTTTGCACAGGGAGATAGCTGGGGGTCCAGAGTACATGGGAGGGAAGGACACAGAGAGGAAGTGGGAAGAGAGCTGTTACATTGTGGTCAATTACAGCTGAACGTCATGAAACAAAATGTGTATGAACTGCTATATGGAAAATGAATTTGCTCTGTAAACTTTCACCCAAGTCACAATAAAAATTAAAATAATAATAATAAAAAAGTACAGCCCATTCCTTCCCACCCATCTTCTTGGTCCCTGCTTCTTCTTGTTGTTGTTAGGTGCCATCAAGTCAGTTCCAACTCATAGCGACCCCATGTACAAGAGAACAAAACACCGCTTGGTCCTGCACCATCCTCACAATCCCTGCTATGCTCGAGACCATCGTTGCAGTCACTGTGTCAATCTCTCTTGTTAAGGGTCTTCCCCTTTTTCACTAGCCCTTCACTTTACCAAGCGTGATATCCTTCTCCAGGGAATGGCCCCTTCTGACAACATGACCAAAGAAAGTCTGGATATTCTCATATCCAAGGCACATTCCAGCTGCACTTCTTCCAGGACAGATTTGTTCATTCTTCTGACAGTCCATAGTATTTTCAGTATTCTTCGCCAACATCATAATTCAAAGGCATCAGCTCTTCTTCGGTCCTCCTTATTCATTGTCCAGCTTCCACATGCATAGAGGCGATTAAAAACATCATGGCTTGGGTTAGGCTCACCTTAGTCTTCAAAGTGACATCTTTGCTCTTTAATACTTTAAAGAGGTGGGGTTTTTTTTTTTTTTTTTTTCCCAGCAGATTTGCCCAGTGCAATACAATGTATGGTTTCTTGACTATTGTTTCCATGGGTGTTGATTATGGATCCAAGTAATATGAAATCTTTGACAACTTCAATCTTTTCTCCATTTATTGTGACGTTGCTTGTCAGTCCAGTTTCAAGGATTTTCATTTTCTTTATGTTGAGATGTAATCCATACTGCAGACTGTAGTCTCTGATCTTCGTCAGTAAGTACTTCAAGTCCTCTTCACTTTCAGCAAGCAAGCTTGTGTCATCTGCATATCGCAGGTTGTTTATGAGTCTTCCTCCAATCCTGATGCTGTGTTCTTCTTCATATAGTCCAGTCCTGCTACTCTGCTGAAATTCTTCTCTGAATTTCCACCCAAGGCCACTTTCTCCAGAAGCCTCTCTTCCCTCGCTGGACCCCAGCACTCTCACCCCAGACCTCTTGTATGACCATTAAAGCTTTGAGTTGGCTCCTGATCTTTGGTAAAACTTGGTGGGCCTTACTTAGCAGCTCACTGGCCTTACCTCACTGTTCCTGCCCTGCACTGAGGGAGCACAGAGGAAGCATCCACCAAGCTTATTGAAAGAACGTATGTGCAATGCCCACCCCAGACCAGTCCTCATCCCTTGATCTCCAACTTCTCCAACCTTTCTCTGTCTGGAGAGAACAAGCAGAGACTATGAGAAACAGCAGAAGCCATTGGAAACTGAGTCAAAGTGAGAGTACCCAGTCCCTCCCCCCTGCCTTTCAATGCTAGGTGACCCTAGGGAGCCCCACCAACCTCAAACCTGGCTGGTATCATTCCTGTCTGCCTCACCCTCCCCAACAGGGAAGACACAGAAGGGTTGCTAAGGCCGTGGTCATGCCTGCAAGGAGAACGTGTGCCACCTGGTGGCTTTTCTGGAAACTGTAAGGCATGCTCACCCTCCCATTCTCCATGCCCACGGTCAGCATGACTATGATGTGGACCTGCTGCTCCCACACCAGCCGCCAGAAGTCCTCCAGAGTTTTCTTGAGTGGCCCCTGGGTGGCGATGAATTCCTGTGGGTGAGTGTAACCCTGGAGTGTAGGTAACAGAGGACAGGAACTTGTTAACAGGTACACTCTTGGCCCCTGCACACCACCACATAGCAGTAAATATCCCACATGTGCCATCCAGGAATGAGGACACTATGAACATGCCAATACGTGTGCAAGCATGTGAATACGTGTGTACACCAAGCAACCAAACCTGGAGAGAAGACTTCAGAGGCCCTACACCACTGACGTCCCACTTCAAAAGAACAAGAAAAACCTACATGAAAATACAAAGTACTAGGCATAGTGGATACGGGACTTGACTGCTAACTGGAAGGTCAGCAGTTCAAACACACCAGCTACTCTGTGGAAGGAAGACTGGGAGATCTACTTCTGTAAAGATTTACAGCCTCAGAAACCCAAAGGGGGCCACTATAGGTCGGAAAGGACTTGATGGCAGTGAGTTTGGTTTTTTTGTTGCTGTTGTTCGTTTGTTTGTTTAACATGCCAAAAATACTCTCCCCAATTCACCCTCTTCACCAATCCTAGAGTGACCTTCCTGAAACCAAACTGTGTTCCTCCCATGCTCAAATGTCTTCCATGGCTCCTCATTGCCCACCAAAAAAAAATCCAAAGTCCTCAACCAACAATCAAGGTTCTCCTTGATCCAGCAACAACCCACCATTCTTATCTCATCTCCCAACACCTGCCACTATCACCCCACACTGCACTCTGCTCACACTGGGCCACCTACCATCCCTCTACATTTTTCCCTGGGGAGAAAGGTTTTATTCAGGCTCTTCTCTCTGGCCAGAATGTCCTTCCCTGCTTTCTCTTCCCCACTTACCAAAATTCTACTCATCCTTCAAGAAGATATCAAGCATCCTTTCCTCAAGAAAGACTTTTCTTGATTCTGGAGGTGCACCTAAGTGCTCCTTCTTCCATGTGCTTGTCCCTTATTACAACACTTGTCACACTGGGTGGTAGATGTCTCACATCTTACACACACACACACACACACATACAGATCATATGTTCTCCTTTGGAGGTGGCAGATGCAGCTAACTCAGCCCTGCCTCCTGCAGCCCAGCACAGTGCCTGACATACAATAAAAACCAGCTGCTGTTGAGTTGACTCTGGCTCATAATGACTCCATGTGTGTCAGAATAGAACTGTGCTCCATAGGGTTGTCAGTGGCTGAATTTTCAGAAGTAGATCACCAGGCCTTTCTTCCAAGGTGCCTCTGGGTGGATCAACCACCAAAATTTCAGCTAGCCACTGAGCACATAAATTTGCACCACCCAAACCCTCAATAAATACTTGCTGGATTGACATACAGAAACACAAGCTGGTGACTTTCATGGATGTCTAGCTAGAGCTTGAGCAGGACAGTGTGTGAAAACCAGCTATCTCCCAAGCAGACACACCCACAGACAGCCTGCTGGTGGCCCTTACTGGGATGAAGTTGGCATTGATGTAGTCGGAGTGAGGCTCTCCCTCCAGCTGGGTCAGCCTGACCCGAGAATGGTCATCTGCAGAGGGTAAAGGTTGTGCCCTCAGTGCCCAGGCACACACAGTCCCCGTCCCCCCCCCCCCGTGCCAAGCTGTGCCCTCTGCCCGTGCCCCTATCCTGCTCCCATGCTCACAGGGCAGTACATGCGGGTAGCGGTTCTTGGAGGCATTGGCAGGATGTTCGGCCTCTAATCTGGGCTGCTCCTTGCCCACCTCCTTCAGTTCCTGCAGAGATTGGGGACAGGTGATGGTGGCTGAAGTAAGCCCATCTCACCCCTCATTAGAACACGGCAGGGCTGCTGAGTGCACAGCTGGACGTTCAAGCCTCAGGCCCTTATCCTCCCTCCTCTGAACTGTACCTCAAACTCCTGTTAGCAGGATGCTATCTTGTCCCCAGGATCTTACCTCAAACTCCTGAAAGAAAGCCTGGTGAGCATGAGCACTCTTGGCCTCATAGCTCTGCTGGAAGCTCTGGATGGGGATTGGCCGGTGGGTCCTCCTGGTGGGAGAGGGAGGGAGTGGGCCTGGGTGTACAGGCAACAGGCTCAGAGCAGTGGAGCTAGTCCTCCTGGCTGCACAGCCTGATCTCCAGGAGCTAGTGGGAGCACATACTTGGCCTCCAGTCCCTCTTCTGGAGTCCACAAGTATGTTTAGCAAGCTTTTCTGCTGCACAGAGGGCTGGGCTGCGAGTCACCAGTGCGGAAAGATGGAAAGAGGAGCACACAGGGAGGAGGGGTGGAGTAGGGGAGCCAGACCTGCTCGGAAAGCACAGGCATGATATATAAGCCCCATCACGGGTTCTGGAACAGGGCTTTCTGTGCCCAGCCAGTGCTCAATTAACATGGGTTCAATATGAAGTCAATATAAGGAAGAAAATGAATAAATTATAGGTCTAATAGAAGACACAGAGAGATTTGGCCCAATAGAATCCAGTGGTCAGAAGATGGGACTGGAACTGGGGAGTTAGGAGAAGAAGGAGGCAAAATGGGCCAAGGAGTGGAAGAGCCCTGAGGGTTGGAGAGAAGGTCCTCGCAGATGGCTGAGGAAGGAGAAGAGTGGTCCCCAGTCTAGGAGGCATCACAGGGGAGCAAGCTTCAGACACACTTGGCAATGTCACCTAAGGCCCAGCCATGGCAGGCCCTATAGCCATCACATCATAGTGGGGAGAGCGGGATACTCACTCACCGCAGGTTGTAAGCAGTCAGCTCTTGGGAAAATTGATTCTTCTTGGCCCTGCAAAAGGAGAAGAGGAGAGTGGGAGGCAGCCACTGGAGGCTAGGGCAGGGCCAGCCTCTCCCGCAAGAGGCCACTCCTTCCTCAGTTGTGGGGCCTCACCCATTCACCAAACTCTCCGAGGCCTAGCCCGGCCCCACTCACCTCTGCCCTTTCACTCGCCGCCAGCACAACAGGCCCAGCACAGCACAGATGGTGAAGGCACAGCCCGCCACAATGCCAGTCACCATGGGGAAGGGCACTGCCACCCTTGAAACGCTGGCCCGAGGCTCTGTGGAGGGCAAGGGCCAGAAGGAGCACAGTAGTCTTGCCTCCAACCCTCCCAGTGCCATGCCAACCTCTCCTGGGCTTGGGACCCTCTGGGCAGAGGGCACAGTGACACCCCCTACCCAGAAGTCTCAGATGCCAAACCAAGGCCAGAGATGGCTGTGAGGAGGAGCATGCTGGATGAACACTGAGAACACCTAGCAATGAATTATAGGCCTAATAGAAGTCCCATCTGCCCCACCTCCTGGGAACACCCCACACACCCTATTCCCCTCCCTGGTACCCTCTAAGAAAAGAGAGGGCAGAGCCCTGGCTACTTGGACTTTCTAGAACTGCACTGTCCAACAAAGAGTCCCTGGGTGGCAGAAATGGTTAAAGGCTCAACTACTAGCCAAGAGGTTGGTGGTTCAAACCCACCTAGACATGCCTCAGAATAAAGTGTTGGTGATCTGCTTGAGAAAGGTCACACCCTTGAAAATCCTATGGAGGAGTTCCACTCTGCACACATGGAGTTGCCATGAGTCGCAACTGACTACACAGCAACCAACAACAGCAACACTGTCCGATACTGTAGCCACAAGCCCCATGTGGCTGTTGAGCACTTGAACTGTGGCTAGTCTGAATTGAGATTTGTTCTGGGTATAAAATAGATATCACATTTAACACTTAGTAAGAAAAAAGAGTGTAAAAGAGCTCATCAGTTCGTTTGTTTCATGGGTCACATGTTGACAAGAAAATTTAGGTATCTTGGTTTAAATTATATATATATATATATATATATATATACACATATATATATATATATATAGTTAATTTCAGCTGTTTCTTTTTACTTTCTAATGTGGCTACTAGGAAATTTTTAAATACATACATGGTTCGCACTTATGGCTTGCTTTATGTTTCTAGTAGACAGTGCTGTTCTAGAGACTGGATGGCGGCGGGGGGTGGGGGCTCACGGTTTAGAGGGCCAGTGCTGGAAGGTAGTGTGGTCATGGACATTGGCAAAGAGTCTCATTGATGCCTCTGTCTCTACCTCTCGCCCACCCAGGGGAATTCTGGTTCCAAGAGCACCTTCATCATGGGCTTCTGGGCCTCTCAGCTCTACTAGGCAGGCATGTTTGCCCTGGAGTCTAACCTCAGTCCCTCCTGCTGCTGGGTGGAAATGAGCCTCAGAAGAGGGGTCCCAGCACTCCTCCCCCACTCCAGGGCCCAGCTGAAACCCCCAGCCTGGTCCCACCCTACCTGAGAAGGCAGAGAAGGAGATAATGGGCTCCAGAAGACTGGACCTGGTAAAGGCAGCAACACTGAACCTGGGCAGAGAAACAGTACCTTCTGTTGGGGGAGGGGCAGGCAAAGAAGGCGGATCACCTCTCAGGAAACAAAGTCATGAACAACACACATGCAAAAGTGAGAGTTTCCTTTTCTGCCACCTAAGAAAAAGGTTAACCTAGGTTTTCATCCATCTTCCCTGCCTTGGGGCATGATAAAACCCTAGAAATAGACACCTGAATATCATTGGCATTGTTTTGGCAAGCTGAAACAGAATTCACTTCTTACCTTTCCTTTCTGAAAAAAGAATCATGTAGCAGTTGGGTGTTCCCCTTTTTGCCCTGTCTACCAGGAAGCCCAATCAAATAATACTACTCTTCACATATTAACTTGGGCGGAGGGAGGGGCAATATACAATAAAAAGGAGGTCAGCATAAAATAATCAAGGCAAAGGAAGACAATGGGAGGGGCATGAGAGTGAAAGGCAACAAAGGTAAATAATATTACATACATAATCCTTCAATAACAGTAATAATGATAATCTATGAATGGATACATAGATACTCAAGCTGAACATGGATAGGAAGATGAATGAGACTATACCCATGAATATATATATATATATATATATATATATATATATATATATGTGTTTGATAGAGGATATTTTAGGAGCTCTGGTAGCATAGTGCCTAAGGCACTTGACTGCTAACCAGAAGGCTGGCAGTTCAAACCCACCAGCCACTCCTCAGAAGGAAGATGGGGCAATCTACTTCCGTAGTGATACTGCCTCGGAAACCCAAGGAGGGGTCGCTATGAGTCGGGTCCAACTCGATGGCATGTAACAACAGCAACAACAAGAGGATATTTTTACATATGCACTTATATGTGCTACAAATATATCCATGAATATAGTGGAGTATATGGGGGGGGCAAAGTTATAAAAACTTCTTAGCCATAACCATACACCTTGAAGGAAGGAGTCACTGGGCTTGGGGACTCAGGCCTGTAGTCTCAGGGGACATCAAGGTCAGTTAGCATAACACAGTCTGCAAAGACAATGTTCTACACCCTACTTTGATGAGTAGTGACTGGGGTCTTAAAAGCTTGTGAGTGACCATCTAAGGTGCAACTATTGGTCAATCCTCGTCTGGAGCAAAGAGAGGAAAGAAAATCAAAGATACATGGAAACGATCAGTCCAAAGAACCAATGGACCATGGGAACCTCAGCCTCCATAACCCTGAGACCAAAAGAACTAGATGGTGCCTAGCTACCACTTCTGCCAGCTCTGAAAGGGATCACAATAGAAGGTCCTAGAGTGAGAGAAAAATATGGAAAAACTCAAAATCCTATAAATGACCAGGCTTACTGGTGGAAACCCTGAGACATTTAGTCTCCTTCAAGCCTGGAACTGTGGCTCAACTTTCAGCTAAATAGCCAGGTCTATAAGGTGACCAACAATATCAGGTTGGTACACACTCTTTAGAACAAGAGCCACATGAGATCACAAGGGCAGCGTTTGCCCAGGGATAAAGCTCAGAAGGCAGGAAGGCACAGGAAAGAAAAACAAATGGAATGGATGGAAATGATAGGGAGAAAGTGGGAAGAGTGCTGTTACACTGTGGAGATTACAACCAAAGTCACAAAGCATAATGTGTATGAACTGTTGAATGGAAAACACATTTGCTCTGTAAACTTTCACCCAAATCACAATAAAAAGTTAAAAAACAAAACAAAATATCTCTCCTCTTTAGGAGTTAGTCTAGATCTTTTGTTGAAATATGTGTAAAGAATTCATTTTAAAAAAAAAAAAAACTTGTAATACTCTTCCTCCAGCCTTAGCCCTCACCTATACTGGGCACCTGGCTTGAGCTGCCCATTACATATCTCCTGAGTCTGACCACATTCCTCTGTACCCATGGGCACTGTCCAGGATCTTGGCACAGCCCAGGGCCCTGGATAGAAGGGGTTGGAGAGCAGGATGGCCAGGTAGGAGTCGTGTCCCCCATAGTAGTGGTCATACCAGGTGTGGTTGATGGCTTCCCGGGGAGGCTGAGCCACTGGGAAAGGAACAGAGGAGGGACAGACAGGGTCAGTAGGGGGACCAAAGCATCTCTCCCAGTCACAGAGGGGAGATTCTGTTCCTCTAACATCACATTATCAGCTCTATCCTCAAAAGAAGCCTTATCCCTTCCTGTTCACACTGCCCACTATTGAATGCCAGTTTCAGGTATTTCATCTTGCCATTTTCAGCCCTTGAACCCCCTCCTTACCTACCCCAAACTGGGCATCAGCCTGGTCCTCCAACATCCTTCTGGGGCCAGTACTCACATGACATGTTGGTGGTGGCGATGATGCCATACCACTGGATCTGCCCTTTGTCCTCACCAAACATGCCCCGTGTGATCACCACTCCCATTTGCATCTCAGGCTCCAGCTGGGGGGCCGTGGCTAACTCTGGGGGCTGCCAGGCTGGAGATGGAGAGGAAGAAAGTGAAGTCTTAACCAGGTGTCTAAAAGTCAGCCTTCCTGGGCAGAGGTTATGCATGTGCATCCCCAGTGTCTCACACAGTGCCTGGCACACAGTAGACTCACAGCAAATGGCTAATTAAATGGTGCAATTCAATCAGAAGTGGAAAGTTCCTAGCCATGGTGCCAGGGTATGAGGCTCAAAAGCATGGCATCAACTTATATGAAATATAAGCTTATATACCTAATATAGTAGTTACCAGGGGTGGGTGGAAGGGAGAGGAAAAGTGGACCTAATTGCTTCAGGGACACTCAGCTTCTGTTAAGGAGCTCTGGTAGCATAGTACCTAAGGCACTTGACTGCTAACCAGAAGGCTGGTGGTTCAAACCCACCAGCCACTCCTCGGAAGGAAGGATGGGCAATCTACTTCCATAGTGATACAGCCTTGGAAACCCAAAGAGGGGTTTCTATGAGTCGGGTCTGACTCGATGGCACACAACAACAACAGCTTCTGTTAAGAGTGATAGAAAAAGTTGGGAAACAGTAGTGGTTGAACAACGTGATGAACATAGTTAGTGTCACTGAATTCTACATGGAAAGAATGTTGAAATGGCAAATGTTTTGTCACATACATATTTACAATTTTTAAAACATATATGATATTGGACCAGCAAGATCAGGGCCAGAGGACAGGGTTGGGGCTTGGGGTATGGGGAGCTGGAACACCAGGTGAACAGTGATGGAGGGAGACTGAGGGCACAGAGGTGGCTCCAGAGGCCGTGGAAAGTGCCTACCCTCTGCAGATGTGGCACACACCAGGGTGACCGCCCGGCTCCACAGCCCGTTTCTGCCCAGCACAGTGAGGCTGAGGCGGTAGGAAGTGGCAGGCACCAGGTTGGGTAGCAGGACAGCATCCTCAGAGGTGTTGGCCTGGAAGATGACATGAGCATTCCCTCCCACTGTCAGCTGCTCTGCCACCATGAGGCAGGTGCCCACATCCCCGGTGGGCACCGTCCAGTTCAGGACCAGGTGGGTGGCCTTGGGCTGGCACTGCACATCCTCCACAGGGTCAGGCTCTGTGGAAATCGAAGGTTCTGCCTTGTGTGGGGGTCAGACTCAGCGCACCCCAAAAAGAAGGTATCTGGGTCAGGGGCTGTCAAAATCATCAAGTACAAGGGAGTTGGGTATTTGTGCCCACAGAAAGGGACCCAGGCCACACAGAGAAGCACCTTCTCTTTTGGATGTCACTGCCCTCTGCAGAAGCATAGGAGGCAGCAACCCCATGGCAGGTGGGCACAACATCTACCAGGGAGGAGCAAGAGGCTGGGGTAAAAAGGACAGTACTGCCGACTGGATTAGGGTCTGCTCCTCAGGGTACCACTATTTTCCCCTAACAAATGCCAACATACCAACTGGCAGCACCACAGAGTGAGTGGAGGCCTGGAGTGGGCCTGCCTGGCACAGCACTGACAGGGAGAGGTTGCGTCCAGGTGTGAGACCCCTCAGGATGAGATGGGCTTGGCCGAGCACCAGGGGCTGCTCCCAGGAGAGGTACCCAGCCTCTGAGAGCTGGGCATGGCACTCCCCCTGTCCCAAGGGGCCGCTGGCCCAAGCCAGGTTGACCATAGCACTGCCTGCTTGCATTGACACCAACAACTCATTGGGTAAGAGAGGGGCTGTGGAGGGAAAGAGAGAGATTAAGCTCCTGAGAGCCTAGGCCACGATACCAGGAGCTTGCTGGCTCTACTTGGAGCCCTCAGGTGTGGAGGTGGGGAAATGGGGCAAAAGGGAGATGAAGGTGCCATTGAGGGGAAAGCCTGTGGATTTCAGAAGAAGGTTGTCCCCACCCCCACTCACAGGTCCAGCCGGAGGCGTTGGCTGCTACGGCATGGAGGGGCCCAGCCTTTGAGACCACCTCCACCTTGTACTCAGTGCCTGGAGTCAGAGCCGAAAAGCTGGTGCCGTCCACTTCAGGTCCCACATTGCTGGTGCCCACCCAGACACCTGCCTGGTATAAAGTCACCTGGTACCTGTCCCGGCCCCCAGGAGCATGGACCCAGGATATCCAGAGCTGAGTAGGGCCTTCACTGGTCACATTGACCAGAGGAGGGGTGAGGGGAGCTACAGGGAGAGCAAGATACAGGGGATGGAGAGGGCAAGAGGAAAATTAGAAAGCAAATCCCTGGCTCCTCCCTCCCCAACAGATCCCTCACTTCTCCCTCCATCCTTAACCTAATCAAGAAACACCTACAAGTCTGAGAGCCCAGTTCAGGGGTAGCAAGTGAGCCCATGACCTCATTCCACTATGAGCAACATGACGGCAGACACACCATTTGTCCCCAGAGAGCAGAGTGGAAGCTCAGTGTTTGTTGCATCAGTGAATTAATCACTTACTCTCCCCACCACTCACCCCTCTTGAAGGCTGAGCTAGGTGGGGCAGCACTAGAGTTAAATCATGTGCTTTTCCCAATCCCAGCACCCAAGGAACTTTAGCTAATTGCCGTCAAGTAGATTCTGACTCATGGCCACCCCATGTATGTCAGAGAAGAACTGTGCTCCACAGGGCTGATCTTTCAGAAGTGAATCTCCAAGCCTTTCTTCTGAGGCATCTCTGGGTAGATTTGAACCTCCAACCTTTTGCTTAGTAGCCCAGTACTTAACCATTTATGCTGCCCAGGGACTCCTTTGAAAGACCTCTAAATGGGTACATCAAGGTTCTGAAGGGCAGGCAGGTGTCTGTGGGTCCAGGCAGTGCCTCTCCTCACTCAGAGTTTGAGTCAGGATCTGGAGTCTCACAAGCCTAGCCCAAGCACACTGCTAACAACTCCTTTATAAATGGGGAAAGTGAGGCTCAGAGAGGGACAAGGCTTGCTTTAGTTTCTGAGCCACAACTAGAATCCAGTCTCCTGACTCCCAGCCCAGAACTCTTCCCAGCACCCTACAGCAGTCCTTCCTCAGTCTGTCTGGGGTCTCTCAGTGGTGGAGAGGCATCTAATGGGAATCTAGAGGAAAACAGGTAAGGTGGCTGAGGTGGAAGAGGGGGGCTGAGAAGGGAGGACCAGGGGGAGGTCACAACTCTGGAGAAGGATGGTGCCAGGGGTGGGGGCACCAGCTACTCTGCAGCTCCACCAAGGGCTCAGCAAGCAGAAAGCCAGGAGGACTCAGGCTAGCATGGGAGGGAACTTGAAACCCCAACCCTACAGGCTCTGGGGGCTTTCAGGAGAGAAGAGAACTTCAGCATGTGATGCACAGCAGATCCTGCCACGTCCGTGACTCCATGTCTCTTTCTAGTGCCTTCACTGAGGGCCCCTTGCCCCTGCTCCTCTCCAGGCTGGGGTTAGTACAAGGTAAGGAACATAAACTCTGGGTCACACTGCCAGAATTTGAATCCCAACTCTCCATTTATAGCTGATGAACTTAGGGCAAGTTACTTTCCTTCTCTGTTCCTCAGTTTCCTCATCTGTAAAATGGACATAACTATATTACCTACCTCACTGACCTGATGTTATGAGAAGCAAATGAGAAAACATGGGTAGATCACTTAACAAAGTGCCTGTGAACATCAGCTATTGCTGTTGACAGTATCAACCCTTCATGAACCCAGGTGGGGCTGGAGGCCCAGTCTGGCTGTGTACCTAATACCACCACCTCCACACTTTCATCCAGGAGATAAGCTGCAGAACAGCATGCCCATGGCTGCTATACCAGCAAGCAAACCTTTTGGGATCTACCACCTTCCAGAATGCCAGAAGGACAGAGCTCTGAGGGATTCCGGGTGAGGAAAATGGGGTCTCCTGGGACCTAGGGATGGGGTAACATGCTCTCATTCAATCCAGCTACCTGCCCACAGATGATAATGAGGTCAAGAGGGACCCACAGCCCCCTAGGTAACAGAAGAGCAGGGTGGGTGGTGAGGGAAGGTGGCATAGAGGGCACTCACGCATCCAGCCCGTGGCATTGGTACTGCTGCTCTTATCCGGACCCCGCAGGGTGACCAGCTGCACCAGGAACTTGGTGCCTGGGGACAACTGGTCCCAGAAGAAGTTCTGGGCCTCAGGAGTCAGGGTGTACTCAGCTTCCAGAGTCAGGGGCCTCAGGCGGTAAAGGCGTAGCTGGAAACCATCTCTGACTCCTGGCGGGGGGCTCCAGGAAGCCATCAGGACTGGAGGCTGGGCAGCAAGGCCCAGACTCAAGTTGGTAGGAGGAGCAGGAACTGCAAGGATAAGAAAAAACAGAACTGGAATAACTCAACTTCCAGACTTCTTGGCACTTTCCTTCCCTGACACCTGCCTCCCTCCCTTCAGTCTCCAAACAAGCTCCCAATGTTCTCAGTCTAAATGTACAGCTTCCACATCAAGCTCAATTGGCATAGCATGCTACACAAAAACATTGTTCTACATCCTACTTTGGTGAGCAGCAACTGAGGTCTTAAAAACTTGCAAGCAGACATCTAGATGCAAATATTGGTCTCTCCTCATCCAGAACAAAGAAGAGTAAAGAAAACCAAAGGTGCATGGAGACAATTAGTCCAAGGGACTAGTAGAGCATGAGATCCTCAGCCTATATGATCATGAGACCAGAAGAACTAGATGGTGGCCACCTACCACCACCTACTACCGTCAACCACTTTGAAGGAAATCAGTACAAGAGATCCTGGATGGAGTGGGAGAACAATGTGGAACAAAACTAAAAAAAAAAAAAAAAAATCAGGTTTGCTGGTCTGATAGAACCTAGTGAGAACCCTGAGATCATGGTCCCTAATTACCCTTCAGATCTGGAACTGAACTCACTCCTGTGGCTTCCAGTCAAACAAACAATAGACAGGCATATGGGGTGAACATTTACATCAGGTGGATAATTCCTTGGAGTGATCAATCATAGGATAACAGAATAACAGTATTTGCACAGGGAGATGGCTTAGGGGGCAGGAATGCATGGGAAGGAAAGACACAAGGAAGAAGTAAGTATAGGGAGGAAGTGGGAAGAGAGCTGTTACATTACAGGGATTGTAATCTGTCATGAAACAAAATGTGTACAAACTGCTGTATGGAAAATGAATTTGCTCTGTAAACTTTCACCCAAATCACAATAAAAATAAAAATAAAATAAAATAAAATCCAGCTTCTGCAGGGCTCTAACCCCAGTCTCCTTTCCTTCCCAGGATAACCTCTTAAAGACATACCCTGACACCCACTCCCCACCTTCTCCCCAAACCATCACTCCTTGGACATTGGCAGTCTAGTTACATCTGTCCCCTGCAATGCCACACACAGCACCCGCTCTCTGGTGTCTCTCATGGACCCTGGTCTCCACCTCACCTGCAGACATTCAATTCCTACACAGAGTGGCGCTGTCTCCCACAGTGGGCCTTGGCACACACTTAGCCTTTGTTAAAGCCCTGTCCACCTCATCCTACCCAGACCCACACACTTTCTAGTCACCTCACTTGCCTCTTTCAGGAACCCTTTCTTCCCTGCTTCCCATGCAGGTGCCCCTTCAGTGAGCTCCTAAAAGATCAAGCTAAACCCCATACGATTTCCAATGTTTGATATTTGACCATTTTAGCCTACAAAAAAATGCTGTTTCATATGGTTCAAGTTAATACACTGTGCATATTACTATCAATGTTGTTGTTGTTATGTGCCGTCGAATCGGAGCCAACTCATAGTGACCCCTCCTAAGGTTTCCAAGGCAGTATCACACGGAAGTAGATTGCTCCATCTTCCTTCCGAGGAGTGGCTGGTGGATTTGAACAGCCAGCCTTCTGGTTAGCAGTCAAGTGCCTTAGGCACTATCCTACCAGAGCTTCCATTACTATCAATGCACTTATACTATATTGTAATAACCAACCAACCAACCCACTGCTATTGAGTCGATTCCGACTCACAGCGACCCTATAGGACAAAGTAGAACTGTCCCAGAGGGTTTCCAAGGCTGTAAGTCCTTTTGAAACGACTGCCTCATCTGTTTCCTATGGAGTGGCTGGTGTGTTAGCAGGCAAGTGCTTTAACCACTGTGCCACCAGAGTGCCATATTATAGCATGATATAAAATAATATGCATAATTTACATGTAAACCATCTGTTTGCTTGTCAGTCTTCCTTTCGAGATTATCTTGTTTATCATTTTCATTCTTAGTACCTAGCCCCACACCTAGCAAATGGGAGGTATTTATTAAATATTTGTTAGAAGGATTGGTAGGTGGTGGGTGGATGGAAGGGTGGGTGGTGGGTGGATGGACGGGTGGATAGATGGATGAGTGATCAACCAAATGGTAGGAAGTCAAAAAGGCTTGCAAAAAGACAAATGAAATGCCCCACATTAGCCTTCTGAGTTAATAATGTGGTACACAGAAGGGTAGAAAGTAAAGGAAGCCAGTCTCCCACCCCCACTACCCTGAGCTGGTTTCCCAAAGGCTGCAGCCCGGAGCTCACCAGTGCAGGCATGAGTCCTCTGGATGCTGGAGTTGAGGTTCCCTGCCCAGGCCCACAGAGATAGAGAGTAGCAGGAGCCAGGCACCAGAGCCCTCAGAGCTAGGCTGGAATTGTCTGGACCCAATTTGACAGGATTGTCCAGTGACTTCTGGCTGCCCTCCTGGTGCCAGGTGACCATGTAGCCTTCCCGCTGCCCCGGTGCTGGGGACCAGCTGATAACCAGCTCAGAGGGGCTGTCCCTGCTGATAACCTCCAGTGACTGTGGTGCTAACGGCCCTGAAGAGAGAGGCAGTTTGGTAAGGAAGCCATACAGTGTATATGATCCTGTGATGTCCTCTGCCCAGCTCTCTGAAGCCCCTCCCTTACACTTCCTTCTCCAAGGCAAGGCCTCCCAACCCTGGGCCCAGGGACACAGTGCTGGCACTCACTTGTGTGACCTGTGAGGCTTTGAGTGATGACTCCCCAAGATGAGGCAATGTCCACCTGGTAGTGGGTTCCAGGCACCAGCCCACAGAAGGTGATCTGGGTGGCACCAGATGGCACAGAGATATTTCCCAGGAGGCCTGGGGCACCCTTGGCATAGAGCAGTGCCCGCCTCCCAGGCTCCCTGGTTGCTTCCAGCCCATTCAGCTGCAAAGTGGCACTATGGCCTTGTGTGGGCTGGGCTACAGAATCTGGAGAAGACAGAGGCCACAGAAAGTGAGGACCTGCCTGCATCTGGATGTAGATGCTCTGGGCAGGGCCCCACCTGAGGCACTCAGCCTAGACTCACCAGCCAGCCAGGCACTGGCCTGGGCCCAGGCATCATAGGGCCCAGCCAGAGCCTTCAGCTCCAGAGCATAGTGACCAGAAGGCAGGGGGCCTGGGAATGTGGCGTTGAGGTCCTCAGGGCCCAGAGTGGCATTCCTCTCCACTGGTCCGCTTAACCTCAGCAGGTAGCCATCCCGCACACCTGGCCCAACCTTCCAGCTTGCCCAGAGCTCTGGGGGCAGAGGAGTCAGCACCAGTTCCAGGGGGGCAGAGGGATCTTGGGAGGAAACGAGCAAACGTGTGCAGAAAGACCTAAACTATGGATTAGTAAAACCCTCCTAATTCTGTGCCCACTTCTTTCTACATGCACTAGACCTTGTCTCATTCAGATGCCAGCAGCCACAATTTGCCAAGTTCTGGATGAAGACTGGGATCTGTCCATCTGGCCATGGACAACAATAAGAGAAATAACCACCATGGCACTGAGTACTCTACATGTCACATCTCCCTGTCACTGCTCACAACACTATGAAGTAGATATTATATTATCATCCCCTTTTCAAGATACAAGGAGCTCTGGTGGTGCAATGCCTAAGGCATTTGACTGCTAACCAGAAGGTTTGTGGTTCAAACCCACAAGCCACTCTGCAGAACAATGATGGGACAATCTACTTCCATATAAAGATTTACTGCCTCAGAAACCCAATAGGTCACTTTGAGTTGGAATCAACTCGATGGCAGTGAGTTTGGTTTTCTTGCTTTCAAGACACAGAAAGTGAAGCACAAAGAAGGCAAACAATTGGTCCAAAGATCCACAGGCAGTCAGTGGTAGAAACAAGATCCTGAACCCAGGCAGTGTGGTTCCACCATGCTTAACACACAACAGAGCTCCTCTGAGTGAAAACATGGAAAAACTGTAGAGAATTCAACATGGGCTCAGGTGCCCAGCCCAGGTTCAGATCAGTTCAGCCACTTATAAGCTGTGTGATCCTTGGGTTCTTTTCCTTCTTGCAACCCTGCTCCCACAACTGTAAAATGGAGATCATATCACTAACATGGTGTTCCTAGCTGCTGCAAAAGGTTAAGCGTCTGACTACTAGCCAAAAAATTGGCAGTTCAAACCTACCATAGCCACCTTGGAAGATAGGCCTGGAGAACAGCTTCTGAAAGGTCAGAGCCTTGAAAACCCTGTAGAGCAGTTCTACTCTGCACACAGGGGGTGACCATGAGTTGGCATTGACTTGGTGGCAGCTAACGAGTACTAACATAGGATTCAATGAGACAGTACATGGACAGAGCCTAGCACAGAGCCTGGCATATGGAAGGGTTCAAGTGATGATAACTATTACCATCATGATCATCTTCTCATATGGGCACCTCCACTAGTCAACTAGAGGGACATACCACCATCCAAGCCCCACCCTTGCTCTGTGGAATTCCAAAGGAACCCCTCCTCCTCTAGTTGTATCCTAACCACTTGGCCAGGGGCTGCTTCCCCAGTGAGGAACAGCTGAGCAGCCTCTGTCACCTCCCCCTGCCCCACAAGTACTCACAGGTCCACTCGGTGGCATTGGGCCCTGCTGCCTGATAGGGCCCAACAGCAGCAGTAAGCATCAACTGATAGGGTGTACCCGGGGAGAGGTGAAGGAAGGTGTAGTTGGAGACCCCCTGGCTGACTACTGCAGTCATGTTGGTGCCATCCAGGAGGTCTGTGAGCAATAGGTGGAGCCAGGCAGCCCCCTCTGAGCCGTTCCAGGAGGCTTGCAGGGCACTGGTGCCCATGGCACGAAGCTCCAGGTGATGTGGAGGCCTGGGGGCTGGAGACAGGATGGAGAGAGCAAAGTAGAGCTGGAGAAGGGGTCTTAGAGCAGGATCCCAGAACAGCCCTAGGGAGCCCAGAAGCACAACCACACTGGGACACACCTGCCTATGAGGCTCTGGGATCTCCACTGCCCACACCACTCCCAGCTTTGCCACCAATGGGGGCCTTGGCCAAGTCCCCACCTTACCTGTCCACTGGTGGATGCTGAGCTTTGCTTGGAGGTTGCCAGCCCAGGTGATAACTTCCAAAACATACTTGCTCCCTGGCAAGAGGTTGTCAAAGCTATAGGACAGGGTGCCTGGGGACACGGAGACATTGTGCACCAGTGTCTGGGTTTCTAGATGGTAGAGGAGAAGTTGGTAGCCATCCTGCTCCCCGGGAGCAGCACCCCACAAGGCCTCCAGGCTGGATGGGCTCCCAGAGCTCTGGAGCTGCAGGTCTTGGACAGTCATTGGGGCTGCAGCAGATATCAAGAGAAGCACCAAGATCAGAGGGCAAGGGGCACGCACCACTCCTCTGCTTCCTGTGCCCCCAAGTAGTTCTCTGTCCTTGAAGTTGTCTCCTTTGGGTTACCCTGCCCTCTGCCATCCCTCCAGGGCAGCCACCTCCTACCCAGACCCCAGTCAATGTCCCCAACTCCCAATCTACAGGCTACTCACCAGTACGGGTGATAAGGGTGATGGTGGCATTCTGTGCACAAGGTCGCAGGGCAGTTACTTGCAGCTGGTAGTGACTCCCTGGCACCAGGTCCTGAAACTCAAAGCTGGATGCATTGGTGTGGACCTGGAACTGCTGCCCTTTGGGAGAGCCGAGGGGGCTCAGGCGGGTGAGGTTGAGGGCATGGCCAAGCCCTCCTGGCTCTGGAGCTGCCCAGCTCACGAAGAGGCTAGTAGGATTCCCCTGGCTGCTGATGTTCACTTTCAGGGGTAGTCCTGGGAGAAAGGGGTTGCAGTCAGTCTCCCAATACCCGCTCTGACCTGAAGAAGGAGGACAGGATAAAAAAAGGGCCAGAGCAGAGGCAGGGCCTGTGTGGAGAGATTAGCCCTGAACCCCCAAGCCCTACCTTGCTTGCCTACTGCAGACACCTACCTCTGCTCTCCTCATATGGGTGCCCTTCCGGGGAGTGGCATTCGTCTTCCTGTGGGAAAGAGGGAAGGGGAGTAGGGAGGAGATGGATGTGAAAGCCAGTGGGGGACAGGGCCAGGACCCAAGAGAAGGGCTTTCTCATCTGGTCTGACACTCCCCCAGACCCAGCCAAAAGGTTATCTCCTGGAGGGAGGCACACCCAAGGTGCAGGACCAGAGTGATCTATTCTCCCTCTTCTCTGTGCTGCCCCGGGGTGGGAGAGGAGCAGTCTCCTTTCTCGCCTAATGCAGACCAGCTGTGGGGCCACCGGGGAGAGGAGTAGGGCTGGGACATACCCTAGACAGCAGGGGTCCCACCCACCTGACCTGCCCCCTCTCCCCCCATGCCCACCTTACCTCAGCCCAAATTCCCCAGAGCCAGAGAAGGGCAGTGACCAAGATTGGGGACCTCATCCCAGTGTCTGCAAGGGAAGACTGGGAAGCAGGGTATAGAGAGGGAGGAGCCAGTCCCCCCCACCCCTTCTCAGCCCTCCCCTTGCCCTGCTGGCTGGCAGGCGGGCAAGAATAGGAAGGCCAGAGCTGCAGGCAGACAGTGGGCAGACAGCAGCAGGCATGGAAGAGCAAGGAGTTGCCTCTCCACCCCAGGCCCTGACGCCACCCCCCCCCAAGCCCAGTGTTGGCAAAGGGAGAGGGGTGGGGTCTGGCTCTGGGCCCAGAAGGTAGAAGAGGACTATAACTCAGACTGCAGACAAGCCCATCTCCTCCCTCTGCCTCCCCCACCTCTGCTCTAGAGTAGAAAGTGCCCTGCTCTGGGGAGCTGAGGAGAAGAGATGGTTCCCTGCTCCCCGGCCCTGGAATAAGGCTATAGTGCCTATTGGCTCCATCAACATGTGTGTGTGTGTGTGTCCTGGTGTGCTGGGTGGGTAGACCACTATGAGTGTGTGTCCCTCCTTGTGGATCCATGTGGCATCATGCTCTTGTGGCCAGAGGCACAAGAGAGCATCTTGGAGGCCTGAGTCACAGCGACTGTAGACCTAGAATAGCTCTCCTGGCCCTCAGTCCCTTTCTTGCCAGATGAGGGAGATAATATCCAGAAGTGTGAAGAGCCTGGCCCACAGGATGTGAAGAGAGGAGCTGGACTTGAACCTGGGGCTTCTGACTCCACTGAACAGGGACAGCACACCCTGCTTGCTCTTCGTACCCAAATTGGAGCCCTTCCAACAGGAGACCTCTGGAGACTGACTGGATCAAGTACCTAGGACTTTTGCTGGTCTTTCCCCAACCTCCTACTACTACAGTGGGTCAGTGGGGCCCACACTGGTTTCCTCTGCCTCCTTCTAGCCCCCACCTGGCTGCCAGGAACTGCAGAGACCTCAAATAAAAAGCATAAAGCTTGAGGCATGGCTTTACCCCCTCAAGCTGCTCACCCAAGTGCCCCCACCCCAAGATAGCTGAAGGTTGGGGAGGGAAGGGTAAAAGGAGAAGAAATGGTGCTGGGTCCTGAGAGGGAAGCCCAAGACTCAGGCAAAAACTTAGGAAGTGAAGAAGAAGGAACATGAGGGAAACAAGCAGGTATAGAAGTTCTGAATACTGGGGTAGCTCCAACAGGGAGGACAGGCCGGCTCAGCTGCGCTCCTTGCTCGAGCTCAAGCTGAGCCAGGGGCTGCCTGCTCCTCCCCACTCCACCCAGCCCCAAACCTCAGAGCCGCCCACCCGGCCTCTGGATGGGGGCCTGGAAACTCAGCACTGCAGACTCATCAGATTTTCCAAGCTGTGTGTGTGTGCATGTGTGTGTATGTGCACACGCATGCTCTTTCAAAAGAAGTGGGGGTTAGTAACTAGGGAAACTGATGTGAAAGGGAGGAAGTCCCCGCCTGACCAAAAGGCAGGGGAAAACATCCTACACTTGTTCTGTCTGCCCTACCCCACCTCACCTGGGAGCACCTCACTCCGTTCCTTCTAGCTGAGTCTTGATCAGTAGCAGCCAAGGGAAGAAGTGAACTGGGAACATCCTAATTCAGAATCTGAGTAGAGAAGACCTAACAGGACATGCATTTAAGTAAAGGAAAGGTCTCAGACTCTTCCCAGGAGTCCCCACAAAACAGACTCCACAGCCAGTCCCATGGACAGAGCGTGGCAAAGGCACCTGGCCACAGAAGTACACATGCCAGCCCCCCACTCAGTCTGGGGCAGCCTTAGGGATAGAAGGGGGGGCTCAAGAGAGGGTGAAAATAGTTTCTTACAGTTAAGAAGCAGCTCCCCCAGCCCAAGCCTCTCCATTCAGAAAAAAAAAAAGTACCACAGGCTGTATCTCCTCCCCAGCAACCACCCCCACAGACAAACCCACATCCTCTCCCTAGAGAACCCCTGGGGTCCTCCTGAGGTCTCAGAGCACCTTACTGATTCCTTCTGTAGAGAGCCAGCCATCAGTGAAGGAGGATAGGGCTCAGGTCCAGGCGTCCTGGCTCCCAAACCTGAGCCAGCCTGGTCTCTCCCCACAGCAGTCCGGGCAGCCCTCTTCCGGCCCCTCCCCTCTTCTCCCACAGGCTGAAGCAAGGCCTTGGGCATCTCCCACACTGGGGGATGATAATCACAGGCAGGAAAGGGCCAGGGTGGCTCAGGACAGAGAACTTATGCATTCTCCCTCCTACACTCTAGGGAAGGTCTCCAGGAATAGGGAGGACCTAGGTCCCACTGCCCAAGCTGTGGGAAGGCAGTGGGGCTGGAGGCAATGGGCTGGTGGGGTGCAGTGCTGGTGGGTATATGTGTGTATGTAGTGCAATGTACACACATACTTGGGTGGGCCGTAAGGTACACATACCTGTCTGAATAGAAATGCGTACACTTGCATGTCTGTGTGCCTGTGTGGGTGTCTGGGGACAACAGGGAAGATGGAAGTAGACAAGAGGCCCCCTGGCAAGAAAGGGCCAACTGGAGGAACAGATTTGCATTTCACTGGCTTTGGGTTTGGGAAAGGGAACGGGATTCTCTTCTGCCCTAAGGTTCTCCCGGCAGAGACCTGAGTTCCACAACCGGACAGGGAACCAGGCTCTTCCCTGGAGCTCTAGGCAGACTGTGCCTGGCTCCTCCAATGCTGAGCTGGACCAGATCTCTGGTCCTCTCAGCCAGGGTGAGAGAGGTATGGGAAAGTCCCCTTCACCAGCAGGCACCAAAAGATGGCAGGAAAACTGGGTCAGGGTGGGGGATGGCAACCAGGATGGCCTGGCCCAGGAATGTGGCCCTGGTACATGCCCCATGGGTCCTCTCCTCCTTCAGTCTTCAACTGAGTGGCCCAGACCCACTCCCACTGCCCTATCAGCACTTCTCTGCCCCACTCACCAAGTGTCTCCTCCGTTGTCTCCCTGCCTTTTCCTGGATGAACCTCCCAGATCCTAGCTCTCCCCCACACAGCCAGGGACAAGCCTGGGCCTGTAAAGACTGGGGCGGAAGAAGCTGGCCTAGGCTGGCCCAGGATCTGGGGGCTGGGGGCTCAGAGCAGCCACCTAAGATCCTAGGACTTCCCCAGAGAGGAACTGAGGAAGGGAGCTAAGGAGGAGGTGTGAAGAACCCAGGAGTCCTGACCCCCCAGTCCTGGTCTTGTCTTCAAGATCCTCCATCCCCTGGAATTTTTTACAGGGTGTCAGCCTTTGCCTCTGCGGGCTGGCAGCAGCCTGGCTAGGAGCCCTCTGCTCCCTAGGTGTTGTCAGGGAGCAGGACTTCTGAGAAGGCTGGATGTACCTGCCCCACCTGAGAGGCTTCTGATAACAGGAATTGTGACTCTCAGCCCTGGAATAAGGGAAGGACTGGAGGAGGGAGGCAGGAGAGTCTACATCTCAGGAGGCACGAGGGCACTGAGCACAGATGGGACAAGTGTCATCCCCTGCAGCAGTTGCTCCACAGCCAGGTCTGGGACCTCTCTGGAATACATTCTGGGAGGAGGGTAGGCCAGGATGTCCCTGGCAGTGACTTCTTCTGTCCTCCGGAAGCTGCCCACCCCTGGATGGAACTACTCAGGTATTCTCCCTCCACCCCCAAGGCTGGCTGGAGAAAGCAAGGCAGGGAGGAGGAAGGAGCAAGAGTTCGGTGAGAGCTGAGACTGTGGTTCCTTCCACCAACACTCTGCTCCTCAGCCCCTTCGCCTCCCCCTGCTTCTCAGCAGACAGTTCAGAACACCTACCTCACCAGCCTCACAGCCTTCGCCTTCTCTAGGATGACCCTACATGTCAGAGGTGACCCCGACAAGGGTGGTGCTCGAAGTGCTATCATGGTCTCTGTCCCCAGGGAAGGAGGAATCCGAGGAGGAGACCGACTGAGACTTAGGAGGTTCAACAGCTTGCCCAAGATCACACACAGGGCTAACAAGCCAAGTTAGACTCCTGTGCTGGTCTTTCCAACTTCCACCCACTACTGCACTTTCTCTAGAGCTAAGGGTCTTGGGTACGTAAGTCCAACTCAGGAGGGCAAGTCAGCAATTTGAGTGAGAAGACTAAGAACTGCCTGGGGTAGTTCCACTCTGGGGTGGGCAGCTTCAGGAGAGGAGAAGTCACTCCAGGGTCCTCTAGACTTACCTTCTTCCCAGACTGCAGTCCAGAGAGTGAGAGAGAGCTGGCTATGCAGGGGCTGCTGCAGGACTGACACACACCCCATCTGTGTTTGGTCCCCTCATCCCTCAGGAGCTCTAGCCACACACCTCCATGTATGCCCAGGCATTTGTAAGCAGGAAGGGGAGAGGGAGTAGGCAAGAAGCAAGGAGTGCCTATCGCCCCCCAACTACACCCTAAGGGTATGGGAGTTTTTTGAAGTCTTGCCTAATCCTCAACCATTAACCCCTACTCCCTTCCCCACCGACTACTTTCCTCATCTTCCTGGGTCCCAGCTTCTTTGCTGTCCACACTACAGCTCATCTCCGAACTGCCAGAAATGCTGCTGGGCTGTAGCCTGGTGAGAGGCTGCAGGCATGTCCAAGGCCAGTCAGGCTTAGACCACGGAAACCTAGGGCACTTGGGGGACCAATGGGGGAGGGCTTTTGCCTGCTTCCTCCTCCTCTGCCCCTGTGGTATCCTAGCTTCCTGTTCTTGATAACTATCAGCAGCTTAGCCTAGAGGGGGTGGCTCTCTTTCCAATTCCCTCCTGCTCCCACTTCTCTTTTATCCTCCAGGGTCCCCCACTATCTCTGGAAATACTAACTAGTTGGGGTGGGGGGGGGGATAAGTGAAGTCGAGGTCAGCCTCAGGTCACTGCCCACAAATTCATCCGGGATTCCCAGGTTCCTGCTTCATTCCTTCCAACCCATCACCAGATGAAGCAGAACCAACTGCTACCCCAGTTTCTCATCTCCTCCCAGGGAAACCCACCCACTCTCCAGAGGAGAAAAGGCATCAGGGGTGAAGAAGCCAGGGATCAGTTGGCTATGGAGGAGCTTAGAAAAGAGCTAGTTCCAGGCCTCCATGCCGAGGCAGGACTGGGGGCAGGGTGGTCTCCAGAGCCCACAAAAGTCATCCTCACTCTTCATGTCATCCCTCCTCCCTCATGGGCCACAGGAAGGCCAGCCCCCTCCCCACCACCCTCTCCGGCATGCCCACCCCCTGTGCCTATTGTACAGCTTTTTTTTTTTTTTTTTGCTGTCACCATTTGACAGCTGAATCAGAGAAGTGGGAGGAAGAGAGAGAGGACGAGATCGTGCGTGTTGGGGGGCCAGGAAGGGAAGGGTGTTTGGAATGTCACAAGGTAAGAGGAGACCTGCAGCAAGCATGAACCGGCCGGGATGCTGGCCAGCAAGTGGTCTGTCAAGGCCAAGCCAGGGCTGGGGACAGTGGAGTGTTGGACTTGGGGGCCACTACCCAGGCTCCAGGCATCCAGGCACCCCAGCGGAGAAGAGGATGTGGAAGCCCCCTGGTGTGAGGGCCAGAGACTGTCCACTCTCTGTAAGTCTTCTCAGTAGATATTGGGATTCTGGGAGGAGGCCTAGAGGGAATTAGGGACCCCAAGGAAGCCCCCAGACTCTCCTACAAATTACCTCTAAAGTGTTCCCCAACTGGCTGGCCTATCCTCAGGCCAGCTGAGAGCTGGGCTGTGGCTCAGGTCCTGGAGATAGCCTTTCTGGCTTGGGCCTGGGCCTTCCCCTTGAGCTGTGGGATTCCTGCCTCATTTCTTCCTCACCCCACTCCAAGTCTGTGCCACATCTGCTCTGGGCAGATGTAGCCTGTGCTTGACCATAAATTCCCAGCAAATAGACAGCGGTTGGACATGACACAGCCCCAAAGGAGGGACACTGCAGGAGGGAAGAGGGTTTGGGAACTCAGGAAATGGGGTGGTCAGGGAAGGCCCAGCCCCTCACCCATGCCCGGGGAGCAGGACCTTGGGGCCATGGCAAAGATGCTGGGTGACTGCCATCCTGCCCCCTGAGGGGCACAGCAGGAGCATCGACCCCTTGTGGCAGCAGCAGCAGGCGCAGGAGGGCAGCGTGCAGCTGGGGTGTGCGTGGGTGGCAGCCAGGAGGGGCGGAGGGAGGAAGCTGGCTTCCTGAAGTCGTTTCAGCCCTCAAAGACAGACCGATAGACAGACAGCTGGCAAGAGGCAGCCTGGGGGACATAGCTGCTTCAGTGAGTACTGAGTGTGGGGAGTGGGACAGTCCCTGTGGCTTTGGGATGGCGTGAACTCTGGAGGAGATGGGAGGGCATCTTGGAGGAGGGGACACAACAGGACAAGTTGGGTGCTCTAGTACCTGGCCAGGGAATGGGTGTTGACTTATCTGGTATCCCGGCATTGGCATGGTGGGGAAGCTGCAGAGAGCTGCAAGGAGGGCAGATGTTAAAGAGTCCCCTCGTGTTGCGGGAGAGCCTCTCACCACCCACATCTGCACCGGCCAGCTCTGTGCCCTCACCTCGGTGCCTGTGGGCTTAGTTCCTCCAACACTTCCTTGCCTCCACTCGGTAGTGGAACCCTGGAAGATGAGGACTGCCCCCCAAGAGGAGATGGCCCAAATACCTCTATACCCTCTATTGAGCCCCAAGCCATAGCCTCCCCATGCGCTGTCGTTCAAGGGCTTGGTGAGGCCATTTCCTGTGACGGTTACAGAGGCGGGAGTAGGGGGGATGGGCAGGAGGAGGAAGGAAACACCCCCAGCCTACCTTCACGGACAGAGACCCCAGAAGCCAGCAATGAACTTGGGAGAGGAACTACCTGCAGTTAAGAGCAGGCCTTCCTAGGGGCCTGCAGCCCTGCATGCATGGATTCTCAACTGGCTCCGACATTGCCAAGGCCTCAAAGTCCTTGTTCAGCAGGAGAAGCCACGCTGGGCAGACCTAGAAGAGGTTTCCAGAGCTTTCTCCCCTCTGTCTATGTGGAACACAAGTTTCGTATTTCCTCCTTTGCCTTCTCTGTCTTGGGTGTCCAGCTTAGAGCTGGGGTACCCTGGGCTCTGGCAGCCCCTTCTCCCCTCTCTTCCACCCTCTGGATTCTTTACCATCTTCATCTATAGTCTTTACCTTTATCTTGCCCTTAAGCTAATCCCAGACCACCTGCCACCCTGAGTCATACTGCCAAGATCCTGGTGAAACTGAGACCACTTCTTAAGGAACAGAAGACACCCCCAGTGAAAACAGAGGTGTCACAGAGCAGAAGGCTGGCCTGGGCTTGGCCAAGCAGACAGGGCAGAGGTCAGCAGCTGAAAGGCCATGTCTTTCAGGTGAACCCCATGGCTGAGTGAGCCTTCCATGGGGCCCCCAGCCACCCCAGCATGGTCCAAGCCTGTGGGGGGCGCTCCAGAGCACAGCCACTGACCGTGTATTTGGGGGCAGTCATGACCCAGCCTCTGCCCGCGAAAGCGCCAGCCAAGAAACATGTGAGGCTGCAGGAGAGGTAAGATCTTTCCTGGGAGAGAGGGCCTTCCTGGCCAGGACCTTGGGCTCCTCTCTCGCCACCACCTGCCCCTCCAGCTCTGATAGTGCAAGGGACCCTCAGTTGTTGACTCCACTCTGGAAAGGAAACCAACTGTGCTCCTTTGCATGTCATTTGCATGTCTGCACCCAAGGTTTCATGTCAACCCTTGCTCCTCAAACCCCATAATGGGTGGAGCAGCCCCTGGGGCCTGCCAGGTAGCTGGAAGCAGTCCCCAAAGGAGACTTGGGAGCCTGGTGGGGAGTAAGAAGCTAGAGAGAGCTGACAAGGGAAGAGGGCATGCAGCAGTGGCCTGAGCCCTGGAGTTCATTCAGCCTTTGGGTCCAGGGAAAGACAAGAAGCAGCCCGCTCAGATGTGCTCAACAAGGACAGTAAGAAGAACAAATATTATTGGGTACTCAGTGGGCACTGTTTGCTGGGCCTGCAGGCGGGGCTCCAATGTAGCTCTGATGCTGGATGTGCGGTCCCTGGGGGCCGTGGAGCCCATCTGCTCGGTGAATACACCCCGGGAGGTCACCCTCCACTTTCTGCGCACAGCGGGGCATCCCCTCACACGCTCGGTCCTGCAGCACCAGCCACCCAGCCCCAGGCAACTGGAGGAGGAATTCTTGGTAAGAACTTGGGGCCCCCTCTGAGTCAGAGGCACCCAGCTGGCACCATTCTATCATGGGTTCCACAGACATGTCTCCTCTTTGGGCCCTTCAGGAAAGAGAGCCCCAGGGCTCAGGGGAGGAGGCTGACTCCTGCTTCCTCTTCTGTCCTCTACTCCATCTGACCTACATACTAATGCCAGCAAGGAATGAGCCAGGGCCCCAAGTCTACTAGACAAGGATGGAAGGGGAGAAAAGGCGACTAGGAGGTGTATCCACTATTCACTCATTTCCTCCCCCTGCCAGAAGATCCCATCAAACTTTGTCAACCCTGAAGACCTGGACATTCCAGGCCACGCCTCCAAGGATCGATACAAAACCATCTTGCCAAGTAAGGACTGTGGTGGGGATCAAGGGTGGTGGGCACTGTCCCTGAGGCCAGAGAAATTCAGCAGGCAAGATCTGTGGTCTTATGGTCTCAGCCAGGACTCAGCCACGGGAAGGACAACCTTACTTGGCACATCTCCTTTCAGCAGAGGGACACCACATCACAGCACAGGAATGAAGGGCTAATAGTCACAACAACAATAATGCAATTAATGTTTACAGATGCTTATAGGGGGCCAAGGAGCTCTGGTAGCTTAGTGCCTAAGGCACTTGACTGCTAACCAGAAGGCTGGTGGTTCAAATCCACCGCCACTCCTTGGAAGGAAGGTTGGGCAATCTACTTCCAAAGTGATACTGCCTCGGAAACCCAAGGAGGGGTTGCTATGAGTCGAGTCTGACTCGACGCCCATAACAACAATATAGTGGGCCAAGGAGGTCTAGTGGCATAGGGCCTAAGGCATTTGACTGCTAAACAGAAGATTGGGCTTTCAAACCCACCAGCCACTTTGCAGAAGGAAGACTGGGCAATCTACTTCAGTAGAGATTTACCGCTTCAGAAACCCAAAGGGGGTTGATATGAGTCAGAATCGACTGGATAGCAGTGAGTTGTGTCACAGGTGTCTCTGGATGAACTCAAACCTCCAACCTTTAGTTAGCAGCCTTGTGCTTTCACAGTTTGTACCAGCCAGGGACTTCCCTAACCCCACCCCCAGCCTTATCTGGCCAGCCCACCTCTGGCAGCTTCCAGTCTCAGGCCAAGCTCAGCCTGAGTGCCTCCTAACTCTCCCTACATTCCAGTGTGCCCTCTGCCTGCCCAGGTGACCCAGGGGGTCATTGTTACTCATCAAAGTGGGAGAAGAAGCAGCTCTCGCTTAATTCCAACCAGCCCTGTAACCACCAGAGAGGGGAGAGATCCCTTAACCAGTGATTTTCCTTTAGGTCTCCTCTGTCCAGAACCAGGCTGGCCCAGGGTGATTGAGAGTCTCCTCACCTTTCCTTACAACCTGCCTTCTTCATTCCTGCTTGGGTTTGACTTGAAATTACCCCCTCTAGCCACCAGTGACTGGTGGACTAGACTGGGGGTCTAGTCCCACTTCACCAATATGTAACCTTACACAAGTCACTTATCTGAACTCCATATTCACCACCAGAAAAAACATGCTTCCTCCACAACAGCTCTTTTTCTGTTTCTGTCTACCATTATTGATCTTGAGGCCAGACTAACATTAATCTCCCATTTTTCCTTTCCTGCTCCACTCCTTTTCCTCTTTAGTCCATTCTACACAGCATCACCCAAATTATCGCTTTGACCATATCACTCTACGGCTCAAAAACATGCTGTGGCTCCCTATTGTCTATGTATCAGATGATTCTATAGGTCTCAGTCCCCAACTATACACAAGGTATTGGGACAAGCACTGGAACGCTCCTCTTTCTGACCCTGTTGGGAGTCTGAACTAGCTGGTCACTTTTTGACCTCTGACTTCTGCTGATTTTTACTTCCTAGATCCCCAGAGCCGTGTCTGCCTTGGCCGGGCACAGAGCCAAGAGGACGGGGACTACATCAATGCCAACTACATCCGAGTGAGTGACCTGAAAGCAGTGGCCATGTGGGGAGCTAGGAGCCTGCATGTGAAGATGAGAATGCTTTCCAGCTAGGTTCCAGTGCCTGGGTTTCTCTCCCTGCTCCAACTCACTCCGCCAGAGCCCTACCGAGCGGACAATGAAGAGGTCCAAGACACCGACCTAGAAAAACATATCACATGTCAAACAATTCTGAAAAGAAGAGACCACTAAGTCTCCTTAACACACCCTATCACCCTATCCCTTTCACAGCCGATCCTCTAAATGGGGCAGGAAGTTGGCATTGCTGAAACCCTATCTCTGGCTTCTTGAGAGCTAATGGCTCTGGGGTCTGCATGGGAGATGCCAGCATAAATAGAGCTCTCGGCAGTCTCTTTTTTCTTTCATTCTGGCCTTAACTGTCCCCAAGAAGCTCCTTCTTGGTAGAGATGGTGTCAGGTCATAGGCACCGTAAGGCAAGGTAGGTTGTCTATCCCCCGGCTTCCCACCTCTGCCAGCCCTAAGTAGATGTGAAAGCAGCACTCTCTAGTGGCTCAAAGTGGGTAGGACAGTAGTCAGGAGTGAAGAAAGACGAAACACTGCTAGTAAGGAGCACTGTGGGAGAACATGGTCTCTCATTTGCCAGCTGATGCTAGCAGAACACCCTTCTAAATTTCACCATCATGTTAGGGAACTTTATGCTTAGGATCCTAGTAGGGAGAAAGAAGAGCTCTGGAGAGTGCACTACATTTTGCTACTAAATATATAAAAGTAATATGTCAAAGTGAAACATTTCATTCAATGAGTACTATTGAACACTTTTCTTGCTGGAATTTTGGGTGAGTAGAAAGCAGCAGGGGAGGAAAGGGACAAACATTTATAGAGTACCTTCTATATGCCAGACTCATAATATACTTTATTGAGTTTAATCCACACTGCATTCCTACAAAGCAGATATTATTATGCCCAATTTACAAGTGAGAAAACTGAGGCTTAAAAAGGCTAACTTGCTTATAGTTGCCCAGCTAGTAAGCAGCAGAACAAGTATTCGAACCCAAATGTTCCTCATTTCATAATCCATGTCCTTTCTACCACGTGGCTTCTGTGTGTGTGTGCATATGTGCACACATGTACATGCTCATGTGCATGTTCACTGACTTCAGCCTAATCCTAGGACCTGCAGAATCTGGGATTACCCAGAGCTCTGCTCTCACTGCTCGTCCCACCCTTTCTCACGTGCATCCACCTCCCCAGGGCTTCGATGGGAAGGAGAAGGTCTACATCGCAACCCAGGGCCCCATGCCCAATACCGTGGTGGACTTCTGGGAGATGGTATGGCAGGAAGAGGTGTCCCTCATTGTCATGCTCACTCAGCTCCGAGAGGGCAAGGAGGTAGGAGGCTGTTCTTGATGAACCCAGAAAGGGCTGCTCCCTCTCCTACCTACACACAACTCTACCCAGGACAACTCAGGACCAGGGGTTCACCCAGGAGGTGAGAATAGCTATAGCCATCCCAGCATATACCTCTCAGAAAGGTTTCTGAGATGTACCCCATGGAGACTGTCCATAGTCAAAAGTGGGATGAGGCGAGTACTTTGTCTACAGGTGTCAAGCTCACCTGCTTACCCAGCTGCTTACCCAGGCAATGCCCAGCCCCTCCAATGAGAGTAGAAAATGGAGAGGAGATACCCCTCCCCTTTCTACTTCTCCAGCTCCTGCTCAAGCTGATGAACCCTTCCCCCTTCTGACTCCCAGCTCTCTTCCTCCTAGAAATGTGTCCACTACTGGCCCACACAAGAGGAAACCTATGGACCTTTCCGGATCTACATCCAGGACATTAAAGAGTGCCCGGAATACACTGTGCGACAGCTCACCATCCAGGTACCACCCTCAGGGGCCAGGCCTGTTGAGAGACAAGGAAGTTGGGCCACTCCCAGCATCTCTAGGAATCAGACCCAACTTATAGTGGAAGCCAAGGGCTTGCTCATTTAGACCTTCTTGAACCCACATCTGAAAGATGTACTTAAGACTTGGAAGGAAAAAAAAAAAACTTGGGCACTGTCCTCAGGGAACCTCTAATAGGGTAGATCCAACAAGCCAACTAGGAATCAGCAGGAAGTACCATCCAACTATACTGAATGATCCAGATGAGAAGAGGTGGGAGTCCAGGAATTGTGCTGATGAAATGACAGGAGGTTGAAAGAGATGTACAATAACGTGTAAACATGCTTTAAAAATGCCTTCTATTACTGTATGTCGTCGTTGTTGTTCTTATGTATCGTCGAGTTGGACCCGACTCATAGCGACCCCTCCTTGGGTTCCCGAGGCGGTATCGCTATGGAAGTAGATTGCCCAATCTTCCTTTGAGGATAAGGAACCCTAATAGCACAGTGCCTAAGGCATTTGACTGAGAACCCAAAGATCAGCAGTTCAAACACACCAGCCGCTCTGTGGAAGGAAGGTGGAGCAATCTACTTCCATACAAATTTCCTGCCTTGGAACCAAAATTAATGGAAATAATCAGTCCTAGTGACAGGTACACCATCCAATCTGCAACCTATACAACTATGAGACCAGAAGAACTAGATGGTGCCCGGCTACCACTGTCATCCACTTGGAAGGGATGTAGGAGATTCTGGATAGAGAGGGAGAACAATGTGACACAAAACTCAAAATCATTTGGAGGAAAAAAAAAAAAAAAGGTGGGGACCAGGTTTGCTGGTCCAATAGAGCCTGATGGAACCACTGAGACTATGGCCCCTAGCTGCCCTTCAGGTCTGGAATTGAACCCACATCTGTGGTTTCCAACCAAACAAAGTACAGGTATGTGAGTTAAACATTTACCTCAAGTAGACACATGCCCTGGAGAGAACAATCATGGGAGAAGGAAGAGCTGCTTATGCACAGGGAGACAGCTCAGGGGGCATGAGAGTATGGAGGGATGGAAACTGGGAAGAGGTAACTATGGGGAGGAAGTGGGAGGGGAGCTGTTGCATTGTGGTAAACTGTGGTCAATGACATGTGACAAAGTATATGTGAACTGCTGTATGGAAAGCGAATTTGCTCTGTAAATCTTCACCCAAATCACAAAAAAAAAAAAAAAAAAAATTCCTGCCTTGGAAACCCAATGGGGGTTGCTATGAGTCGGAATTGACTTGATGGCAGTGGGTTTGGTTATTACTATATGATGTTATTATTGTATGATGATACTTTTTGAGCATTTATCTATCAACTCATTAGGAGTCCCTGGGTGGTGCAAATGCTTAAAGGCATGGAAAATACTAATGAGCACAGTTCTACCCTGAAACACACAGGGTCAGCATGAGCTGGAATCAACTTGACAGCAACTGGTTTATCAACTCATTATCCTCAAAGCATCCTATGTAGTAAACCAATAAGATAAAGGTGATAAAATGAGGTTAGGGGGACTCACCCAAAGCCATGTGCTAGTTAGAGGCAGAGCTAGGACTTGAACTTGAATCTTTTCCCTCTTCCCAGACAATGCTCCTTCCCAGCATTTTAGAGGAGGAAATAGTGGAGTATCATGAGCAAGAAAAGAGCTGCCTTTCCCTGCTCCTGGTTACTGAATTTCTCATGGAGTAATTCCAGCCCTTGCCCTCCTCTGCACCAGAGGAGAAGGTGGGCAGTACTCCCTACCCTGACCTGTTTCTCACACTTGCTCCCATCTCAGCACCAGGAGGAGTGCCGGTCAGTGAAGCATGTCCTTTTCTCAGCCTGGCCTGACCATCAGACCCCAGAGTCAGCTGGACCTCTGCTGCGCCTGGTGGCTGAGGTAGAGGACATCCCAGAGACAGCTGCCAACACTGGGCCCATTGTGGTCCACTGCAGGTACGTGGCCTTCCCTCTATGGCAGCACTATGTATTATGCTCCCCTCCCCTTCCTAAGGAGTCAAAGCAGAATAGAGTCAGGCAGGCCCTGCACTTACTTAGACAGGAAGACAGGAAGCTCTAGGTCCTTCAGCAAGTGCTCTGTTCTTATTACCTCTTTTGTGCAGATCCCAGATGTCTGGGCTGGACACCCAGACCCAATCCAGAGAGGTCTAGACTATCAAGTAGTACTCAATCTGCTTGGGGACAGATAAACATGACCACTAGGAGCTCTGGTAGCATAGTGGCTAAAGCACTTGACTGCTAACCAGAAGGCTGGCGGTTCAAACCCACCAGCCACTCCTCAGAAGGAAAATTGGGCAATCCTACTTCCGTAGTGATACTGCCTCGGAAACCCAAGGAGTGGTTGCTATGAGTCGGGGCCGACTCGACGGCACATAACAACAACAACTGTTGGGGAACTCATTTATTCATTCAACAAAAATTTCTCAAAAACTGATTTGTTATCAGGCAACAAAGGTGCTAAGGAGCTAGCCATGACTTTACACTGGCTCACAGTCTGGTGGGAAAGATAGCAGATTAAACAATTAAATGCAACTAATGTGATGAGAGGTATGATGGGGGTAGTACAGGGAACACAGAACCCAGATTGCTAATGCAAATTTTGGCTAGAGAAGGTTTTCCAGGAGAAAGGACATGTAAGTTAAGACCCAAAGGGTGAATTAGCCAAGGGAAGAAGGAAAGGGGAAGTCTTCCAGGAAGACTTCCAGGAGTGTTCTAGACAGATAGAATAGCATGTGCAAAGGTCCAGAGATGAAAGATAAAAAGTGGTACATTGCAGGGAGCAGGGTTAGAGAGCAGGGCCTGGAGATCACATGGGTGACAGTGATGAAAAATGAGGCTGGAAGGTAAGTGAAGGCCAGGTGATGAGGTGATGAGGGGTCTTGTAGGACAGGCTAAGAAATTTGGTTTGCCATTTAAAAATAATATTAGAACAGCAGAGTGAAAAGTGGATTAGGCTGGGAGGTGGGGGATAATGCCAGTGGGAAAGGACAGATGTACCATGATGCAGGACAGATTTCAAATAAGGAGACCATTTAGGAGTGCATATCCTAAATGAAACAGAACATAAAGGCAAACAATTCAAAGAGGGGGCTCATAAACCCAACCAAGGGTGGTACCTGAACATAGGGTTGGGAGGTCATTAATAGCTTCTCTCAGGGGCTCACACAACTCATGCAAGAAGACCTCCTAAAGATGGGAAGCCTGAGAGGGGTTTTGAAATAAAGGCCAGGATAGAGTGGTACAGAGAGAGGAGGGCTGTGGGAATAACAGAGGTAGGAAACAGAGGAGGCTGAGTGTAAGCAGTTGTGGTATATGAGCTGAGAGGAAGTCATGGTTAGATAAGACAGGCTCAAGGGGTCAGCAAGTCCACAAATGAGAGACTGTCAGTTGGAAACCACTATAGTCTGTTAAGTAGAAGACAGCTCATCAAAATGTGAGGGTGTCCTGGAACAGGCTTAGTGAGGCTATGAGGACATGTAAACTCTAGTGCAGTTATAACCTGCCTCCTTCAGGACCCCTAGGGGGTCAGAAACCTGTAAGGTATTACTACCTTCCTCCATCCCCATGCCCTCCCCCCCAAAATAGACTATCCTTGGGCCCCACTGCTTTTTTCATAATTGGGGCCTGGCCTCCATGTTTCCTGGTCACCTGGCTTCCATGCTCCCTAGTCTTTTGTTTCTGTGTTCCTTGGTCACCTATGACCTCCCCACCTTCTTCCTGGCTATGTCCAGTGCAGGGATTGGCCGGACTGGCTGCTTCATTGCTACCAGAATTGGCTGTCAACAGCTGAAGGCCAGAGGAGAAGTGGACATTTTGGGCATCGTGTGCCAATTGCGGCTGGACAGGTAGGTCCATGCATGTAAATAGGCCCAACAACATTAACAAGTGGTATTGGTGTCACTCGTTGGGTGTCAGAGCACTTACACATGTGTCACCATCAAGCATTTCCTGTGAGAAAGGAAGGGGGCCCTTTGCTAAAGAACTGTTTATTTTGCAACTAACATCCGAGAAATAATCTCTATCTGGAATTTTAGCTTGGAAGCCTAAAATTAAGTATGCCGCTCTATGGATTTGCACTGAGCCTTCAAAAAAAAATTTTTTTTTTTTTTTTTTTTTTGCAAATTCCCTACTTGGGGAAAAGTTGGGGGAGTAAGAATATAGTTAGTTATAGTGCTAAGCAGTCACAGGTAACGGACAGAAGATCACAGGGTTTGGAGAGAGAGGACCAAAGTTCAATTCAGACTTGAAGCTTACTGAGCTATCAGTATATTTCTCTAGGCCCCCATTTCTTTATCTAGAGAAAGATAAGGACCCATTCCCCAGAGAGCTTTTGTAAAGAATTAGTTAACTTACATGAGAGTGTTTTGGAAAATGGGAACTACGTCACAAACATATGGGATTGTTATTTTTACTTTTAGTATCGGTGGAAAGAAAACGAGGGGCTCAGATTCCCAGCCTGAGGAATCTGTGACCTGGTTCTACCCAGGCACTGAGTGGATGAGGGAAGAATAGTGGTGGGCATCTCCTCCTTGGTCCCCAGCCACCAGGCGCAGCCCTAAGTAAATGTCAAAAGGGCTTCCCTCATGGGGAAAGATATGAGGGGCAGCAAGAAGGAGTAAGAAGTAGAGAGGATGGATGGATGTGAAGAAGTTGATGTTTTCTTCGGCAAAGCCAGGACTTCTTCCAATAGAACTACAAGTGATTCAGCAAACCCTCTGTCCCTCCCTAGTTCATGGTCTGTGTGTTTCTCCCTGCAGAGGTGGAATGATCCAGACCACAGAGCAATACCAGTTCCTACACCACACTTTGGCCCTTTATGCAGCCCAGCTGCCCGAGGAGCCCAGCCCCTGACCCCTGCCATCTTCTAACAGCCCAGGTGGCAATTTCCCCTCAGACCTCGGAAGGTGGGTTTCAGCAAAGTCAGCCATGTTACCTGGGGCACCCCTGGGTGGGCATAGGGAATGGGTGCCTCCTTAGTGAGCTCTTGTAGCCCCAGGAAGCTGCATCAGCAAGATGAGGGGCCAAACTCCAGGTCTTCACCACCGGCCATGCCTCGGTTTTCTCTAGTGTCCTCAATCAGACCATAGGGGGAGCCTCCCATGTCTTTCTGAACTTATAAAGATACAAGCTCACACTTCTGGCAAACCTGAGAAGGCCAGGTGTCTGGTCTTCTCTTTATGCGCTTCAGTCTCCTCATCTGTGACATGGATATTAAGTGCTCTGCTGCCATAAAGGGAAGCAATCAGAGAAGTTCCTAGAAGCTGTTCCATCTGTATCTGCTTCCTGCAAATGGCAAGAGGGCGATTCCAAGATCATATCCCCCAGACCCTGCCCAAGCACAGGCCAGATGCAAGAGCTGGGAAAGTCTGGTCCTGAGCTTAGTCAAGTCCTCCAACATCTTAGCAGTGGTTCCCTGCTCCCCTACCATCCATCTATGAGGGTCAGACACCCCCAAAGAGAAAAGAGATCCAAATTATCCCTGCTTCCACACATGTATAGAAGGTAGCCAGGTCAGGCAATTGCAATCTCTGGAAGAGAGAAAGTAGGGGGTCCCCTCAGAGACCCAGAGCTGTAACTGCTGGCCACTTACCCCACCTACTCATTAGGGAGGCTTCAGTATGCTCCGACTTACTAATATGACCTTAATACCCTGGACACCCAGGAAGTACAAGAGAAAGAAGGGAAGAGACAAAGAACTTGTCATGACTATAGACAGTAAGCCCCCACTACCACTACCACATCTGCAGATACCAATAGAGCTTTGTGATTTCCATAAACAATCTGGGTTTATAACCATTCCATGCAGATATGGGACTAAAATGGGATCCCATGCCAGCTACCCCAGACAACTAACCTCCCCTCATCCCTCTCAGCATCAACACAATTTCCAGGGTACCCCAGATCTATCTCAGGGCTGAATTAGAAAACATCCAAACCCTTCACTCTCCTTGAATCCAAGATGGCTGCCTCTGGGATGAAGGTAAGGCGCCATCTCTTCTGGCACTCCACTTCTGGGATCTGAATCTGCTAATACCAATTCTTTGTGGAAACCCCCAAGGAGCTAGATCCTGGAGAACAGCTGGGCCTCCTCATTCGTGATACCTCTTCTGAAGAACATGCAGTGTTAAAACTGAGTTTAATTTTCATAATGCTTCTGCTCGGCCTTCAGGGGTCACCTGCACTTCTACCTTCCCTAACCCCTGTGAGAGGTACTTACAGTCTGTACCAATGAAGCTGTGTGAATAACCCTCAAGTGCCTGATCTTACCCAGACCTCAGACCCAGCCAGAAGGGAGCTCTCCCTCATGGTATTGTTATCCCAAAAGGGTACAAGCTCTGGAAAAGTAACCAAGTGGGAAAATAAAGACTTTTTGGATGACTGATTCATTCCTTTTTTCCACCTTCTTCTCAGGCCTCTGGGGCTTCTCTAAAGCAACAGCGAGAGTGAAAAACACTCTCAGAGTAGGAACAGACTGCAGATCTCTATCCCTGGGGTATGCACTCTGTCTAGCACTTTGAGGTACATGCAAGATAAAATCAACCTGGAGTCAGTTTAACAAATAGGACAAAAGCGCTAGAGAGGGATTTATAAAGAGTAGAGGCTAAATGCTGGTAGAATGATCTGGAAAAAGATAGTGGTGATGGTTGCACAGTATTATGAACGTATTCAAGGTCATCAAATGGTACCCGTAGAAATTGTTGCATTGGCAGATGTTTTGTTACATATATCTTTATTTTATTTCATTTATTTATTTTTACCACAATAATTTAAAAAGGCTATAATGACAGTTCTGGTAGCATAGTGGCTAAGGCACTTGACTGCTAACCAGAAGGCTGGCGGTTCAAACCCACCAGCCACTCCTCGGAAGGAAGGTTGGGCAATCCTACTTCCGTAGTGATACTGCCTCGGAAACCAAGGAGGGGTCACTATGAGTCAGGGCTGACTCGACGACACATAACAACAACAACATAATGACAGTGCTTATTCTATTCAAGATTTTATGATTTCTCCACTTTGGCAACTGTGTGATTGTTTAAGTCTTACTTGGAGTCCCTGAGTAGTGTAACAGTTAATGCACTCAGCTGTTAATTGAAAGGTTGGAGGTTCGGGTCCAGCCATAGGTGCTGCAGAAGAAAGGCCTGGTGATGCACCTTCAAAAAATCAGCCATGGAAAAACCTATGGAGCACAGCTGTTCTCTGACACACATGGGTCACCATGAGTCTAAATTGACTGGATAACAACCATTTGTTGTTGTTGTTGAACTTATGCTTAGGTTGATATGAATAGTTTATTCAACTTTGAGTATAACAGTAGACTACATGTGAGAACATCTGAAAAACAAAACCTAAGGCGCCTAATTGCCCTGAAGTCTGGGACTAGCAGAAGGCCTGAGATTAGTTCCTGCCAAGTAGGCCAGTGGGGGGGCATCTTGGCAGGCCGTACACCACTCACTGTGTCTCCCCCTGAAGAAGACCAGTTTTTACCACAACATACCAACGTTTTTCTTTTCCACATATCTTCCTCACTGGAAAGCCTCTGCCAGGATTTTATCTGTTTCAGTACCATGGTGATACCAGTAAAAATCAGCATCAACTCCAAACACCTATCTATGTTGAGCCAGAGACTTCCTAAACAAATGGTCCGGGTAAATTGTGGTATACAAAACAAGATGGAGTATTAAAAGACCCAAACACGGTGGTTACTCTCCTATGGGTATATTTTGAGAAGATGGGACTCAGTACCCAGCGATGCTCAGAAGCAAGGGTTCAGGGAACAAAACCCCTCCATTTGCCTTCCTTCAGAGGTACCTCATTTTTGTGTCCTGGAAAGTAGGTGAACCACCTTTCTTCAATCTGGAAATGCTCTTGCTTAACCCGGACCTCTCCCACCTCGAGTCCACAAGCCCTTTAAGAAGGAAACGGGTGCCAGTCGGGGCACAGCTGCCGGAGAAGGGGAAAAGATAAAATTTGGACCCCTTTCCTAAAGTGCTCCTCTATGCTAGTTGCCAGTCAGTTCCGATTCCTGCAGCCCGCGGGCTCCGGGATCAACCCATCCGCCGGCCTCGGTTCCCAGCTCCAGGCGAGAGAGGAGCGCGCGCGCGGGTGCGAGCAGGACCCGGCCCTGGCCGCGCGGGAGGGCGGTGGCGGCGGAGGAGGAGGGCGCTGAAGCCACACCCATCGTCGAGCGGATCCGGGGGCAGAGAGTCGTCGGCCGCCGCGCTCCAGCCTCCGCCCGCACCGAGCAGCGGGACCCGGGCCGCACTGGGGAGGGGCCGCTCCGGGCCGCAGCGCGAGGGCATCGAGGGGCGACGGGGACCCGGCACCGGGCGGGGCCGGCGGCAGCGACCATGATCGCTTTGTTCAACAAGCTGCTGGACTGGTTCAAGGCCCTGTTCTGGAAGGAGGAGATGGAGCTCACGCTGGTGGGGCTGCAGTACTCCGGCAAGACCACCTTCGTCAACGTGATCGCGGTACGAGGGCGCGGGGCGCGGCGCGAGGGCCGGGCCTATCTCCGCCCGCGCCCAGTCCCTGTGAGCCGGGGTCGCCGCCTGGCATGGCCGGGCACGGCCGGGCGCCAGGCGGGGGAGGAGCGGCCCGGGCGCTTGGGGCCTAGTACGGCCCGTGGGGGACTCATAGGACGCTCGCGACCCGCTCTCCCGCCCGAGCCCAGGATGGCACGCTAGGGGCGGGGGAGGCGGCGCAGGAAGACACGGCTGGTGCCCCGTGGCTGGCCAGCACTGAGTGGGTCACGGGGCAGGAGGGACCCGCTACCCGCCGAGACAGACCTTCTCTGTACCCCGCGCAAGGGGGCATGACGGGGCGAAAGTGGTCGGGCCTTCCCGACCGGCGTGCGGAGGGACACGAACAGGTTGGCCGGTGCGTCTTGGGGCAGGGGCCTGGGCCAGTCAGCCCCACCCGAGGACTTAACCCCTCGTTGCCGGAAGGGGGAGGCCCTGCGCTACTGAGGGGGAGGGGAGATGCCCCTGGGGGTAGAGGAGTCCGCTGAAGCCTTTGGCTTTAGCCCAGACTCCTCCTACCGGGGAACCTGTCCGCATCCGGAGGGGTCTAGTTGAGGGTCCTGGGAGGATGGCATCATAAAGGGAGTTTGGAGTCTCTGCCTGGCTCCGAAGTTGCAAGAGGAGGTGCTCCAGACCAGAGAGGCTGAGTTAGAGGGGGCACTGCCCACTCTGGGGACATGGAGACAGTGGCTCTGAGGACTTTGGGTAGTGAAGACCGAGGTTGTGGATTGTAATAGTCCTTCAGTGCCAGGGGTGTGGTGGGGAAGGAGTTAAAAAATCTAAAAGAAGAAAGAGGAAGATGAGCTCTATGGGTGTGTGAGCTGAAGCTGCCGAAATGGCTGCGGCCTGCGTTTCAGAGCCCTGCTGGACTGGGCTTGTGGTCGGAGGAAGGCTTGGGGCAGGGGGTAGGGCTGTTCAGAGACCTGGCCCTAGGCCCCAAACTGAAGTTTCAGGGAATTAGGGGCTGGCCAGATACTGGCCAAAAAGTCTGATGAGACAGGACAGCCAAGGAGTGTGGCAGCCAACCCTACCTGACAAACCCTGGCATCCCAGAAGATGTGACACATTTCACTGTGTTGGGCCTTAGGCATGGGGGCAAAGGGTTGGAGGGGCAGCTGCCCCATGGTTGCATGATGGGGCACTGGCTTGGTTTCCCAAACATGCTCTGCAGATGATCCCTTTCTCCACCCAGTTTCTCCTGGCTGCTCATCTATAGGACAGGACCTTCAGGCTGATGCTGTTTTCTTTAACACAATAATTTTCCAAGCTAATGTGTGTCCCTGAGCTCCTGTGTGCCCAGGCTCTGGCTCTGGGTAAGAGAGCCCCAGGTTTGACTGGGGCCTTAACTCATAGAGCTGGAACACAGTGCTTAGGTTGGGATCCTGGCTCTGCAGGCCTGGGTGACTTGCATCTAGGCATTTAGATCTGGGAGATGTCTCTGGGGTAAGGCTAAAAGGACAAAGGAGATGCTGCTGTAAATCTCCAGGGAAGCTCTCCTAATGGAGCATCACTGAAGCCATGCCCTTGGATAGGGATCCACAGGTACGCAGGTGGGTTGAGTTTCCTAGTCTGGAGGCTATTCCTATGGATGCCATCCTTTCACAAGAGAGCCTCCTGTACACCAGCATCATATTCAGAGAGTAGGGGGCTATGGCATTTTAGGAACCAAATCGAAGAGTCCTGAATTCCACTGCCAGGGTCAAGAGTTTCTGTGATGTGTGGAGCAGTTCCCTCTCCAACCCATGTGTTCCCATTTTAATATTAAATTTGCCACTTCCTACCACTGTCAATCACTCGGACAGGGGGTCTGTGTAGGAGATCCAGGACAGAGTGGGAGAACAATGTGGAACAAAAGTCAATATCATTTAAAAGGGTGGGGGGGCAGGGCTTTGCTGGTCTGATAGAGTCTGGTGGAACCCCTGAGACAATGGCTTCTGGCTACCCTTCAGGTCTGGAATGAACTCACTCATGTGGCTTCCAGTCAAACAAAAGACAGACACAAAAGGTGACCATTTTATATTAGCTAGATACACTCCTTGGAGAGAACAATCATGGGAGAATTGAAAGGCTATGTACGCACAGGGAGACAGTTGGGGGTGGGGCAGGAAGGCATGAGAGGGAAGGACACAGGGAAGAGGTAACTATGAGGAGGAAGTGGGAAGAGAGCTGTTGCATTGTGGGAAATTGTAGTCAATGTCATGAGACAAAGTGTATGTGAACTGCTGTATGGAAAATGAATTTGCTCTGTAAACTTTCACCCAAATCACAATTAAAAAGAAAAAAATTTGCCACTTCAAGTAGCACGTCCTAAGAGAAAAGTGCAGGCTATTTCCTCTCTTTAAATAGGCTTCTCTAGAAAAACCACCCCTGTGGGCTGCAGTTGGGGTGATGCCAGCATTCTCAGATCCTCCAGGGCTACCACACTGGCGTTTCTACCCACTCCGTGTATAATCACTAGACTGTCTTCCACAAAGAAATGAAGAGTCAGGACCCCTGGGCTCTGTTCCCATGCCCACCACTGACTTTCTAAATCACCTTTGCCTATTCATTTGGCCTCTGTCTATGTGTGTTTTCCCCGAGATGTTTTTTTTCTGTTCACTACATGAAGTCTGGCTGTAAATAGAAATTGAGTTTAGTGTGTCTAGCCGCTCAGCAGGTTAATGTGAGCTACAAATATATATAAAGAGGCTCCATCATGCTTTTAACAGCCTAAAGCTGATCTTTGGAGTTCCAAAACACTTGGGATGCTAGAAAAAATGAGAGGTGAGGGGTTGTCTGAAGGAAACGAGAGACATTATCAAATATTTGTAAGTATAAAACATTGTCCGGTGGAAGAACTAGTTTTGAGGTATAGGAAGATAGATTATTGATTCCTTATAAAGAATTTTCTGGTGGTTGGAACTGACCCAAGAGGGAGTGGGCCAGAAGGGATTCAAGTCTGAGACACAGGTTGGACTAGATGACTATTGAGGTTACTTCCAAACTTAAATGAGGAGCTTGTGAGATCGGGAGGGAAATTAAGTCATAACCTGGTTCCCACTTAGCTTCGCTTCACACTGAACAGGAGATACTGGTGCCGGGGAGCCTGACTTCCTGGTGGTTCTTCTTGCACTCCGCTTCGCCCAAGGGCACATTCTGCCAGGTGAGGCTTTTCATTTTTTTGGGAGGCTGTGCCAGAGAGCAATGATGGTTCCCTATGCTGTATTGAAACCATTTCCAAGCACTTTATTTACCAATCCCAACACCACACCACCCACTGCCATCGAGTTGATTCCTACTCAATAGCAACCCTATAGGACAGAGAAAGTCTTTATGGAAGCAGACTGCCCCATCTTTCTCATGCAGAGCAGCTGGTGGCAAACGCTTTTAGTTACTAGCCATATGCTTTAGCCTTTGTGCCACCAGAACTCCTTTGCCAATCCCTAGAAGACCAAAACTCTTCTCCCCCATTTTTCACGGGGAGACCAGAGAGGTTAACGGGTCTTGTCCTGGCTTACCCATGATAAGAGATAAACAAGAACTGGGCTTCCTTCCTCAGATGCCATGTTCTTTATTAGCTTAGATGTGGATGGAGTGTACTTCAGTCAGCAGGTACTACCCCCGTCCCGACACCTGGCTAGGGTCTGGGTAATTATACCACGTCTGATTCTCCTTACTTAGCAAGAGAAGAAGTCCTCTACCCCTTCCTCCTCAGTGATTCCTAACTTTTGGGAGCTCTTGGACTCTTAAGGAACTCTGATGGCCTAGTGGTTAAGGCATTTGGCTGCTAACCAAAAGGTTGGTGGTTCAAACCCACCAGTTGCTCAGTGGAAGAAGGATTGAGGCAGTCTGCTTTGGTAAAGATTTACAGCTTTCGAAACTCAATGGGCATTGCTATGATTCGGAATTGACTTGACAGCAGTGAGTCTGGTTTTTTGTTTTTTTGTAAAAAAAAAAAAAAACCTGAAAAGTGGACATAAACTAATTTGTGCATACAAACTGTGTATAATTTCAGGGGATTCAGGAGATCTCAGAAACCCATCTGTGGACTCTAGGTTAAGAACCCTGTTCTACCTTAACATTTGATATCAGTCATGGGTACCTTAACATTGGGTGTCAGTCATGGGTACTCCAGTTCTCACATCATACTAGGGCCTTGTTGAACAGGCTTGGTGATTTCTGCAGATAAAAGAGATACAGTGCACCTTTATTCAAATGGGGGTTTTCATTCAGACTTGCAGGCTCTAAATAAGAAATGCTCTTCCTGTATATCTTGCCTAATGGTCAAGACCCTGACCTCCTTATATGGCCCTAGGTAAATTTCTCCTAACATCTAGGAGAAGAAAAGGGCGTGCGGGACACAACTGTCGCCCTCAGGTTCAAGGTTAAGTGAGCTCTTCTCCCTCATCCTGCTTCTTGGGAGAAAGCAGAAGTGTCCTACATGTGAACATGGACATGACCTTGGAGGGAATTTGGTCTGTCCTTGCTTGAGGACTGTGGCTAATTTAGAACAATCTAGAGGTCTAGGAGACAATTTAAAGGTAAGGTATAAAAATTATCAGATTTTGACTATAGGTTATAGGAAATGGAGTTACAGTATACCCTCAATTTTTAGGGAAACATTTACTAATGCTGTTATTAAAGTCCTGGTTCCTCTCCCCAAGAAGCACTCAGACTTGTGCAAAGTCAGATAAGTAAAAGATACTATGGAGTTCGGTTATCCATCTTAACAAAAGCAGTATAGTGCAAATTAACCAAAACAACGAGTAATCCAGGAATTGCTTGGCATGCATTCCATTTTGAAAAGCGGCATATTTACCTTCCCCAAAAAATTTGACTTGAATATTTAGTAACCAAACCAGTTTGCCATCACGTCATCTCCAATGTCATACAACCAAAAAACCAGACTCGCTGCCACTGATTCTGACTCACAGCAACCCTCCTTGGGTTTCAAGTCGTCTCCAATCTCATGGCAACCCCATGTGTGTCAGAGTGGAACTGTGCTCCATAGGGTTTTCAATGACTGTTTTTTTGGAAGTAGATAGCCAGGTCTTTATTCCAAAGTGCCCCTGGGTGGACTTAAAACTCTAATCTTTTGGTTAGCAGGAGAGGTGTTAACCATTTGTACCACCCAGGGACTCCAGAATATTTACTACTACTTGAGCTTACCCTTGACTGATAGACCATGGACCTGTTGAGGGTAAGAACCCTCAGCAAAGATTGCTGGAGGTAATTCTTCTCCACTGGAGACTATAGAAAGGGGCTTCTGTTACAATAAGAGAGATAGGAGTTCCTCCTTAGGTGGCGTTTTCTCCCAGTCTAGGTTGAGAGTCTGAGATGGCCTGAAGAAGACAGATCTCTTCCTGGGAAATCCTCAGGTGTGGGGTAGACACCTAGGGAGGTTACAGCTCAGTCCTGCCTGTAAGCAAGGGCTGTTCAGGAGGTAGCCTAGTGATGACCCCAGCTGAGAAGTCAGAGGCGCTCTGGCCCATCTGTCCATTATCCTTGCAGCCCCTTGGTCTGAGGCTCCCAGGGACAGCAGCTGGGTCTTGTGTCTCTGCACCTTTTCCAACTCAGACTTTTCCTTGCAGTCAGGACAGTTCAATGAGGACATGATCCCCACCGTGGGTTTCAACATGCGTAAAATCACCAAAGGGAATGTGACCATCAAGGTGAGTGGGTGGTGGGAAGGCGAAACTGAGCGTGGCTTAGGGGACTGCAGAGGACCATGGGGGGTGGGTGGAGGTGGGAGACCCAGGAGTGCCCGGTGTTGCAAGGGCCCAAAAAGAGTTGGGGGCGGGCAGTCTGAGACTCCTGGAAGGAGCAAACTAAAGGAAAGCAGAGATTTGGGTCTGATTTTTGGGTAGTTTGGGAAAAGAGAGGGAGACCTCTACCTTCAGAGGTAGACAGAGGGGTGTAGTGAAAGAAGAGGAGAACTGCAGTGAAAGGGGAATCTTTGGGGTTGGGCGTCAGGGGAGATGAGGGGAGTGGGGCAGAGTAACCAGTTGTCACCAAGCCAACTCCAACTCATGGACACCCATGTGTATCTGAGTAGAACTGTGCTCCGTAGGGTTTTTAATGGCTGGTTTTTTGGAAGCAGATCTCCAGTCCTTTCTTCTGAGGCACCTCTGGGTGACTCCCACCTCCAGCTGTTTAGTGAGCTGCCAAGCACCATGCACTACGCAGGGACTGCAGGGCGGGTAAGACGGGGTACTTGGGAGCCTGCCTGCTGCTGAGGCATCTCTCCCTCTTCTTCCTCAGCTCTGGGACATTGGGGGACAACCCCGTTTCCGCAGCATGTGGGAGCGCTACTGCCGAGGAGTGAGTGCCATAGTGTAAGTGTCGGGGCTGGGCAGGGGCCCTCAGGACTCCTCAGCCTTTCCTGCTTTTGCCCTCAGGATTCCTGCCTAACAAGGACCTCAGAGGCCCAGAGGTGGATTAGTCATAGTCCTTGGCTCATGGCACAGTGTCCATGCATGGCCTTTCTTTTCTTTGCTGTTTATTTCTGATCTAACAGATGCCCTGTACACCCACCACCTAATCTAAGACCCAGAGCATCAGTGATAATGGGATGCACCTGTGTTCCTCCTTATTGGCATCTTACCTCCCCACAACCCAAGGTCACTGAAACAAAAAACCAAACCCGTTGCCATCGATTCCAACTCACAGTGACTCTGTCGGACAGAGTAGAACTGCCCCATAAGGTTTCTAAGGCTGTAATCTTGACAGAAGCTGACTGCTAGGTCTTTCTCTTGTGAAGCAGCTGGTGGGTTCGAATCACCAAAGTTTTGGTTCACAGTCGAGCATTTAACCAATGTGCCATCAGTGCTCCTCCAAAGTCAGCCTTACTATGTTGCAGCTGTTGTTGTTATGTGCCATAGAGTCGGACCCAACCCATAGCAATTCCTCCTTGGGTTTCTGAGGTTTACTTCACTATGGAAGTAGATTGCCCCCAACCTTCCTTCAGAGGAGTGGCTGGTGGGTTTGAACCGTCAGCCTTCTGGTTAGCAATCAAGTGCCTTAGGCACTATGCTACCAGAGCTCCAGCCCTACTATAGATGTGGTTTAAATGATTCATTCCCTTACTTTTGAAGAACAATTTTATCCTACATGTACATCCAAGTAATAGATTGTTTAGTTTTCATTGTTTCTATTTTACTTGATTTTTAAAAATGTTATCTTGCTGCAAGAAAACCTTCTAGGACTTGCTTTTGCTTTTTTCACTCAACCTTATCTAGTTTTTCCATGAAAACATAAGTGGGTCACTTTGGGAGGGATTTACGGCAACTCCTAAAGGGCTTTGCCACAAGAGTAACAGCTTCCCCAGAGTAAGACTTTGGAGGACAAGAAAATAGCAGCCCCAGGAGTCTCTGTGGCTTTTCACTCCCATCAACTCAGAAAACATTCGTGGAGCACCAGGAGCCAGGCCAGTGCCAGCTGGAACAAGATGTTTGGCTCCTCCAACCAGCAGCCCCTGCCTTTCCTTCCCACCTCACAGCCTGTGGTGTCAACATGCTTGTCCCCCACCTCCCCACCTCCCCCCAGGTACATGGTGGATGCTGCTGACCAGGAGAAGATCGAGGCCTCCAAGAATGAGCTCCACAATCTACTGGACAAACCTCAGCTACAGGGCATCCCGGTCAGTGAGCCTGAGGGGAGGGGAGAGGAAGGGAGCTGGGCTGGAAGTCACCAGGGCAGGCCTGGGAGGCAGACGAAGGCACTGCAGGGGTGGTACAAAAAGGCCATGGAGGTGCTGTCTTCCGACCTTCTCTAACTTCACAAGGGGGAGGGAGAATAGAGATGAATATCAACAACCCAAGGCTGGTTCCATTGAGGCGGTGGTCAGACATGCCGCCACCCTCCAACTTTTTTACCAATTCTGACACCAACTGCCCCTCCTACAGCACTCACTACTTCTCTGCTGGGTTCGATAATTCATTGCAGTGGCTACCCAGAACTCACAGACAATACTCAGGATTAAAAGGTTTATTGGGGAAGTTAAAGGTTACAATTCAAATCAGGAACACTCAGGATACAATTCTTCAGTCAGGACAGGCTCCACTCTGCCTTGCGGGGCATGCCTCTCTTTTGTCCTTGGCCTCTGGCCCTGACCTTTGCCCTGCTCAGCAGTGTTACAGAGCTCTTTTAGCTCTGCTGGTAGGTGCAATCCACTCTGCCAGCAAGCCTTCTGCCCAAAGGTACTCAGCTTTCTCGCTCTGTGGGCCAACAAGCCTGCTGTTCCATCTCCTGCCGGTCTCTTGGTTCTGCTGCCTCTGATGCCGCCATCTCTCGGCTGTCTCAGTGTAGGGCCCTCGGGCCCAAGGATGTATTCTGCTCTTGGCACTCTTCTCTCTTGATGGCAGTGAAATCCCCTTTTTCTGCCTTTAGAAGGACTCATTTTTAGCCTAGCAGGATGACAAAACTGACCAATACCCCCTTTAGGGTTCCATATACCTTATTTCCATGGTCCCACCCCCACAAGGGTACCACGTTTACATTATTAGCGATCCCCTTGGTGGGCCACAAGCACCTTACGTTTGCATAGTTTCACCCAGTTATCTGATGGGAAGTAACAAAGACAATGGCTACAAGAGCCGTATTAAGTAATTCACTGCACCATAAGTGGGGAGAGGAAATGAAAGGACTCTAAGAAGGCAGTCTTCCATCTAGATAACCCTGGACATAGCTGCTTCAGACTTAATCCTTGTCCTCCCTTCTCTGTAGGTTTTAGTCCTGGGTAACAAGCGAGACCTCCCAGGAGCATTGGATGAGAAGGAGTTGATTGAGAAAATGTGAGTTTGGCCGCTCTTGTACACTTTCTACTCCCCAAATTCTCAAGCCACCAAACTCAAGAGGCTGGGCTTGTTGCTGTATTCAGTGTCTACCACATGGTGGCAGTAGAGCCCACCTTTGCAGCCCCTTGAGTATGGCATGGCCCTGGTCCACCCTAGCCCTAGTCCCCCTGAGCAGTCCCTAGCCTCAGCGACTCCGACTCTGGTTTCTCCCCAGGAATCTGTCTGCCATCCAGGACCGAGAGATCTGCTGCTACTCCATCTCCTGCAAAGAAAAGGATAACATTGGTACGTGGGTTTGGGAGAGTTGCTTACATTCTAGCGAGTAACCAGGGGGAAGGGAGAGGGAGGTAGGGGCAGGGCTGGGTGTTTTAGCATAGTAGCTCTCACAGGTTCTCATTTCACAACTTTCCTTTAAGCCTAAAGCTCTGTGGTTCTTCTAGGGGTAGAATAGCCAGGCAGGCCCAGATTCTGAGCATTAAACCTGCTGTGCCATCGACTGGTATTGATCTTACGCAAATCACTCCCTTCTCTGGGCTCACTTCCCTACCTGTAAAATTAGGGGTTTGGACCAGGTGACTCCCAGACGACCCCTCCTGACTCTGATAGCCTGTGGCTCTTTTACTCAGTGTCTGGTCTCCCACTTAATTACCCAAGTTGGGTTGTTTGGCGTTTGATAGCTTAGAGTTTTGATGCCCTTGGAGCTGAGCCCTGACTGTGTTAGTGGAAGCTCTGGGCTCCTCCACAGGATCTCTTCACCTTCCCAGTGTGCCCGGTACTTGAAGGCCTTGTAACCTCCTCTCTTGTCCCCCACCAGACATTACCCTACAGTGGCTTATTCAACACTCAAAGTCACGGAGAAGCTGAGACTGCAGCCCTCCCCCCTCGGATAGGGACTGTCGTCATCCAAACCTGAAGCCGTGCTCCCCGCCCACCCCATCGCCCCCTAAGCCTGCCCTCCCTTACTCAGTGTGGGGAGGGGCCCTCTGGGGACCCCAGAGTCCTGTTCTGCTGAGGTTTGAACTCCTATTTTTACTGTAAAATAAATTGCCCCCCATTTGAGTCCCCTAACCTCTCACCCTTCCCCTCTCCCTTTGTCCCTTTGCCAACCCTGCGTCCCTCCCTCTCAACTGCCCTGACCCCACAGCCTCTGCCCTCCTCTCTCCCCTGCTCCACTCCTATTCTTCCCTACTCAACACTCTTCTGTTATTGTCCTGTGTGTACAGTATATATATGTATATATATTTTAATTTTTTAATTTAAGCAAAGACTAAAATCAACCATTTGATGCTGCAGGGGCTGGTCAGGATCTGGGAGGGGGCAGTCTGGAGAGAAGGAGAGAGATGTGGGTCGGCTTGGGGCAAGCTCAAATGCGGAAAGGTAGAGCTGGCACCTGAGGCACATACCAGCCTGGGCACTGGTGGCCATTCACACGTCTAGCTGGTTTCCACCTCAACCTAGCCTGTCCCTGCAGGACTTGAATGTTACAGACTGGCAGGAGCCTCCAGAGGCACTTCCTCTCTGCCCTCAGCCTTGGTTGGGCCACCAGGCACACCCGGGTGGTGAGACCACCAGGCCTAAGAGTCAGGAAGCCAGTGTCCCTGCCAGCCCAGCAGCCCCCCTCCTGCCTGTCTTTGGCTCCAGCTCCTGCCCGGACCCAGGGCCCCACCTCCGTGGCCCACCACGTTTTGTTCTCATTTTGCAGTTGCACAAGGAGAGAACTCAGCTTGGGGGGTTGGTTCTTTGGGTTTTGTTTTTTGTTTGTTTAATTTAATGATTTGTAAAGTGATGTTCCTCTTCCTTTTTTTACACTTTTCAGCTCATATTTAACCTCTGTTTGGAAAATGATTCTTGTAACTGTACATTTTTTTGCCTCCTGATAATAACAACAAAAATAAATTACCAATTTTGTGTTGGGGGGGTGTATGGTGCTGGTTATTTTTCCATAGATGGCATGGAATGGCTGGCATGCCTACCAGGACACCAGCACCCCTACCCCCACGCACACTGGGCACAAACAGAGCCCCAGAGAGACTGCCACCAAGAGGGAGGCACGTGCTTACACTGGGGGCACAATAGAACCTCACAAAGCCCTCCTGCATGTGTGCATGGACTCTGCCTCCTTCTCACTCTCTTTTGGGACTTTCTTTTGGTCCTGGCTCTGAGTTTGCAGCTACCTAATGGAGATTGTTGTTGGTAGGTGCCATCAAGTCGGCTCTGACTCGTAGTGACCCTGTGTAAAACAGAACGAAACACTGCCCGGTCCTGCACCATCCTCACAATCCCTGCTATGCTTGAGCTCATAGTTGCAGCCACCGTGTCAGTCCCATCTCGTTGAGGGTCTTCCTCTTTTTTTGCTGACCCTCTCCTTTACCTACCATGATATCCTTCTCCAGACACTGGTCCCTCCTGATGACATGACCACAGTATGAGAGAGGAGGTCTCACCATCCTCACAACTAAGGAGCATTCTAGCTGTCCTAAGTGGAGCTACCAAACCAAACCAAACTCACTGGTATCAAGTCGATTCCAACTTACAGCAACCCCCATTGGGTTTCTGTGGCTGTAAATCTTTACGGAAGCAGATTGCCTCACCTTTCTTCCCCAGAGTAGCTGGTGGGTTCGAACCAAATGCCTTAGTCACTATAACACCAGAGCTCCTTAAGTGGAGCTTTGTTGTTACTGCTTTTGTGCTATAGAGTCAGCCCTGACTCATAGTGACCCCTCCTTGGGTTTCTGAGGCAGTATCACTATGGAAGTAGATTGCCCCATTTCCTTCCGAGGAGCTGGTGGGTTTAAACTGCCAGCCTTCTGGTTAGCAGTCAACTGGCTTAGGCACTATGCTACCAGAGTGGAGCTTAGGGGCTCTATTTTAGGAACTGCCTGGGACTTGGATCATGGTGGCAGGAGGCTAGGGTCTGGGCTGTTTTGTGAAGGGACTGAGCCTCTGTTTATGGTGCACTCAGTCCTCTGCCGCATCTCTCTCCAGGCCCAGGACCTCACCTGCAGCCAGGCTTGGGCAAGAGGCTGAACTGTGTCCCTCCTCATTCCTGGTTCTTAACCCTGCAGCCAGCTAACTGACCTCTGGTGGGCAGGACTGGGCCTGCGGAGCCAGGATGGCTTCTCCCCTTTGCTGCCTTTTCTGTTGGTGTTGATGCTACTTGTTCCCCGAGAGGGAACCCCCTACCCTCACTCCTACCCTGTTGTAACCCACCCTCACACCCTGTCGTAACCCCACCCTCACTCCCTAACAGAGTCTCCAGGAGGTCACTGGCCAATCCCCCTCTCAGCTGCCCACAGCTGCTGCCTCAGAGCCTTGCAGGAGCCTGCTCACTCAAATCTGAGGCCATCTTGACCCAGTTTTACAATAAGCCCCGCCTCTTCCCTGCTCCACCGCCCTCAGCCTCCCCTTCACCTTGGAAAATGGAGCAGGCCCCTGCAGAACACCCTATCCCTTTCACTTATGCTGCTGCAGGGGAAAGGAGCTGCATTTTTCCTCCTGGAAGCTGTAGCACCTGGCAGTGAGGCGCTCTGCGCCCCTTCCCAGTTGTAGTCAACTTCCCCTCACTGTTCATTTGGGCCCAGGTTCCTCATGGAGGCACTTTCTAATTGTCAGCACTATTGGAGAAACATGCCCTTCCTGGAGAGGAAGTTCCCTGTCACCAGAAGAACTTCAGGAAAGATTGTGGCAACTGGAGCTAAGCGATTTTAGGGTGCCTTCCAACTTCTAAGGAATATAAATCATGCCCCTGGTTAAGGGCGGCTGAAGCTGGGACCAGGCTGTGTTCCCGGCCCCCCTCTTGGCTGCAGGGGTGGCAGGGTTTACTCTTGGCTGGGAGCCTGCGGGAGAGCAACAGTCCTTTCATGGGGGCCTGGAAGCAGGGAGACACTTGTGGACTGCCAGGCCTCCCTTAGGTCTTGTCATCTTCCAATGAGGGACGAAGTTTGATCTGTTACCAGCAAGCAGACATCCTACAACTGTGCCTTGTGCATTGTCATTTGCTGCTATGGAGTTGGCCTCTAACTCATGGCAACTCCATACACAGTGGAACAAAATGCTGCCCCGTCCTGCACCATCCCCAACATCAGTTGAGGCTTAGTCTGTTGTGATCCATAGGGTTTTCACCGGCTGATTTTCAGAAGTAGATTGCCGGGCCTTTCTTCCTGGTCTATCCTAGTCAGAAAGCTCCACTGAAACCTGTGCCGCACCACAGCAGCACTCAAACCTCCCCTGACAGGTAGGGGCTGTGCGTGCAGTGCATTGGCCAGAAACCGGCCAGGCCTCCCTCATTGAAGGTAAGAATTCTGCCACTGAACCACCACGGCCATTATGTCTTACACATAAAACAAAAAACCAAGCTCACTGCCATCGAGTTGATAACGACTCATAGGAACCCCCACTGGGTTTCCTAGGCTATAAACCTTTATGGAACCAGATTGCCTTATCTTTCTTTCCTGGAGCAGCTGGTGGGTTTGAACTGCTGACCTTTTGGTTAGCAGCCAAATACGCTAACCACTGCACTACCAGAGTTCCTTAGGCCTTACACATGGCAGGTACCTAATATGACTTAAAGAACAAGTTAAAATTGAATAGAAAACAATCATGAGTATATGTAAATCATTTTGGGGCCCTGCTGGACTGCCAAGACTTTGATGAGTTTAAGAATATCCTGGCCAAGTGTGTTCTGTAGTATTAGAGCATTGAATTCCCAAAGGGAAAAAAGGAAGAAGAGGTATGAGGCGTCTTGCCACAGGGTTTATATATCTTGTTTCGTTTAATGATTTTAGCCCTCTGTGAAGGAAGGACAATTCCTATTGTACAGATGAGGAAACAGACTGAGGGCTCAGTAACAGAGCTCAGGTTCTGTGGTAAGAGGTCGAGCTGGGGGTTCAATGAGGTGGTTCTCAAAAGTGCATGTGATGTCCTCCAAGCTGTGGTGGGGGGCTCAATGGGTTTGCCCCACATCCCCAGCCCTGGTATCAGAATCTAAGGCCTGGTCCAGAGTTTGTCCTGAGGGGGTGGGTGAACATGTCAATGTGGCCTCTGCGTATCCCAACTCAAGTCTATTGCCCACAACTGTGCCAACCTGCCCCCCCCAAGCCTGGGCCCAAACAGCCATCAGACCCCTAAACAACAAATCCCACATTGTTCCCCCAGCTGGCCCAAGCTGGAGGGACAGTGGCTCTTTCCCAAGGCCTGGCTGGCCAGCTGACTAATTCTGCAAGCCATTCACGTTGGCAGGCCCCGGAGCCTGCGGCTGTGGCTGGGCCTTGGAGCCACCATCTCTCCCCATCAGCTCCTAGCTAGCCAACCAGCATGGCAGGGGACATCCTTTGTGGAAGAGGCCCTCAAAATAGGATGCTGCAATGCCCCCCCCCCTCACCCCTGTGCTTTCCGTCCTCAGCCCTCCCTATCCCAAGCTTCACCTCAGGTCACCCAGCCTCACTCTGACATGCCTTCAGAAGCAATCAGTTCATCCAGGACTGGGGAGTGGATAGAGAAGGGGTTGTTAGGAAAATAAGGAAGAAGTAGCCTTGGTCCTTCACTGGCAAGTCTACCTTTGGCTCCCTCTCCAGCCTGCTGCCCCCTACCTTCTCCAGCCTGCACCCTCCACCCATCTTAAGTTTCTGCAGACAAAGCTAGGGGTTTCAGTCACCATGGCAACAGGTCTGCTGAGAGATGGGTGGGTGTCATTCCCCAGCACAAAGGGTGTGCGCATGACAGCACTGTCACCTAGCAACGTCTCCCTCTCTCTTGGCGGAGTCCCCGACCCTGGGGGTGGATGCCAGGGAGAGAAAATAAGGCCATTAAGATCCCCAGGAGAAAGGAGGGAGGAGACTCGGACATGGGGCAGGCTGAGGCCAAGGGGTGTGGGTGGGTGGACAGAGGAGAATGGTGCCCAGGGGCCACTCAGAAACCCCTGCTCCCTTATGCCCCTCTCGGGTCCCTTCCTGAGGTCCCGTGTGAATGTCCTAGGTAGTCCTAGGCTGAAGTCTCAGGGTAGACCCCAGAGCTGAGCTCAGACAGGGAAGAATTGTTCCAAAGAAAGCTGGCCTTGTCTATGGCAGTGAGTGGTGCATAGGCTAAGGCATCACTTCTGGTCAACCTTGTGTTAGCTTCTCAGAGGCCAACAGGGAAAAGGGTGACGATTGGAAGGACCCTGAGAAGTGGAGCTAGGGGAGATGGGTCTCCAAGGCTGGGAGACCAGCAGGAGGAGCTGAGGGCATGTTGGTGGTAGGATGTGGCTCTGGCAGGAATGGTGGTGTGGCGGGGGTGGGGTGGGGGCATGCAAGGGACAGGCAGCTGGGCCGTCTACAGGCAAAACAGTCCATTCTAAGAAACTGAACAAGAGCCGCTCTCAGAATCAGAGAGACTGGGAAGCCTCAGGGCTCACAGGGGAAGTCCACTGGATTCCTTCCAGAGAGTGCTTTATGGAAGGAGGATTAAGAAGAGGTAAGGGCTCCAGAAAGGATAAGTTTGTAGCCTTTTGCCTTCCCAGGGACCGCTGGGCTTAGGTCAGGATGAGGACTTGGTCCTCCAAGCTTCCCAAGTCCTCTATCCTCTCTGTCCCTTAAAAGTCATAGAGCCCCAAGAGCACATACAGTCACTGGGCTGTGTGAGACGTCAGCCCCAGGCCAGGAAGGGCCAAAGGAGATCAGGAGGAATTACCCCAGGACACTGTCAGGACCCAGGGAAGGCCCTGGAGCATCAGAGCACTGCCAGCATATGGCACAAGGAAATTTAGTGTGCACAGGGGTCATTCTACCTAGTTTATTGTTTTTCAAGAAGGGCCTTCTACAGGGAAGCACCTAACAGAGGAGATTGGGATAAGGCAACACAGGGTACCTCCAAGAAGGGAGGAGGAAGGAGAGAGAAATCCTCTGGAAGGAGACAAGGTGCTGGATAGAGGGGGCATCCAGGACTAGGACAACTCCAGTCCAGGAAAAAGGGTGCCAAGCCAAGTTGAGCTGAACCCTGAAGAGCCCCCTACTCCAGGATGGCATCCCGGGGTGGGAGGTACAGAAACAGTGCTTGGCAACTAAAATAATAGAATCTAGTTCCAAGGCAGAGGGAGAGAATAGTAGAGTTGGAACTAAGAGAGGGTAGGTGAGGGTCAAGTTCTGACTCCCAATGGAAGAGACTAAGAGTTTCTGGGAAGTTCTAAGGACCTAGAAGCATTATTGTCCACCAGTTGAAAGGGCTGGGAGGCCCCAAAGATGACAGGGAAAAACCCCTTGGGGAAGGGGCTTTGACATGCCCAAACTTCAACAAGAGGAACAAAGTTCATCTCTAGATAGCAAGACAGGCAGAAAAGCAAAACCTATCAGGAAAGAAACACCTGGCACAAGCTGGGGATGGCACTTCTCCTGCCTCACTCTGCCCCTGCTCTGTGCCTTGTAGCTCACGCCTGGCCTCAGCATGGTGTGCCCAGGGCCAGAAGCGGCGGAGACTCCCTGGGCTTGTGGAAGTAGATGGAGGAGGACATCTCAGTCTTGAGCTTGTTGTCTGAGCCGTTGTTGGTGGTGGCCTCAGAGGCCCCACACTCCTCACAACAGCAGCAGCAGCAGTCCAGGAAGGCCTGGCCTAGCGGCCTGCAGATACACAGGAGGAGCACCGGAGTAACAGCCCCTTTGAAGAAGGTGGAGAACTGGTTGATGAGATCCAGGAGGTCCAGGGTCTGGCGGGTCAGCTCGGTGGAGAGGTAGGCCACCACGAGATTGCAGACATTCTCAGGGAGGGTGCAGAGGGCGTACAGCACCGTCAGGCCCACCACAGTGCTGTTGAGTTGGCTCTCACACTGCTCGTGCTGGCCTGCCCGGCACTCCGGCTTCCTCCCTGGGGGGCCCCGCACCCGCCATGTCACCAGCTGGCAGGTGACAGTAAAGAGGATGGGCAGGCAGAAGTAGCAGCCAAAGTACCACCACATGCGGGCATTCTGGTAGGTCATCACCAGGGAGTAGAGGGACTCAGGCAGGCTGGTGGAGGGTTTCATGATGCAGGAGTCCACAGTGCCCGAGGCAGGGGAGGGTTCACGTGCTAGCTGCCACAGCAGGAGCTCGGGCACAGCCAGCATCATGGAGCCCACCCAGATGACAGCCAGCTTGGCCAGGATTGACTGGCACCGCTCGATGGGCCTCACCTTGGGCAGGGTGCTTGTGGCCACGTGGAAGCGGTCAATGCCCAGGGCACAGAGGCTGAAGGTCGTGACCCCCAGAGAAGAGACCTGTGGGCAGAATGTGGGGAGACAAAAGCATTTGATCAAAATTCACGGGGACAAGGGAAGATGCCTTGGTTTCTGGCTTAGTCAGACCAGGAATTGAGTAATAATTATAGAAATAACATTAATATTACCACCATTTAGTGAGCATTTGTTACATAACAAAGGTCTCTGAGCAGCACAAATGATTTGTACTTGAGTACTAATTAAAAAGGAGCTCTGGTGGTGCAGTGGTTAACGTATTCAGCTACTAACTAAAAGCTTAGAAGTTCAAAACCACCAGCTGCTCTGCAGAAGAAAGATGAAGCAGTGTGCTTCTGTAAAGATTCACAGCCTTGGAAACCCTATAGGGCAACTCTACTCTAACCTATAGGGTCGCTATGAGTCAGAATTGACTCGATGACAGTGAGTTCGGTTTTTTGTTTGTTTGTTTTTTTGATACTAATCTAAAGGTTGGCAGCTCAAACCCACCAAGCAGCACAGCGGAAAAAAAAAGCCTAGAGATCTGCTTCCATAAAGATTACAGCTTGGAAAACCCTATGGAACAGTTCTATTCTGAAACACATAAGGTGACCATGACTAGGAACCAACTCAACAGCGACAGGTTTGGTTTAGTTTACTATGTGCCAGGCACTTCACGTGCACTAACTGGTCAACTCCTCACAGCAAACCGTTTCACAGAAGAAGAAATGTAGGCACAGGCAGGATGAGTGAACGGCAGAAGTGAGGTTCAGACACAGACCTGCCTGACTCTTTCCACCTTGCTGCTTTTCTCTCTGGCTAGGGGATGAATGATCTGCATGCCACAGACTCCTTACCTCTCTGAAAGACTTTGGAAAGTTGTCTGTAAGAAAGAGCCCAGACAAAGATGTAGAAGTTCTGGGTCTTTTCTAGTCATATCACTTCCTTTATCCCATCATGGGCATGGAGAGAATGATCTTAGGGAACATGGCTTACACACGCTCACATATTCACCATTCATACACACTCACACACTCACACTTGTATACACTCACACACACATTAACAAAGCACTGACACGTGCATGCAGGCACATGACCACACACACTTGCACACTCATTTACATACATACTCTCACATACATTTACACACACAATCACACACATCCATCCTCCTCACCCTGTCCTGAGAAGCCTAGAACCCGGCTGTGTAAGCCAGCAGCCCCCCACCAAGCCAGCCTGTACCCACCATCCCTGCCACGCTATTCACTGAGCCAACAGGAAAATGATCCCGGAAGCCAAGAGGAAGAAGCTAGGACAGCAGGGGAAGAAAGTGCCAGAGGAACCCTCCCAAGTTGTCAAATGATGTTCAACCATATTTAGGGATTGCATTCAAATTCCCTCCTCCTGTCCAAATTCCTCCCTCTTCTGGCTGGGGGAACACAAGCTCTCATTTATTAGCACTGCCCCCACTGCCCTTGGTGAGTGCTGTCTCTGGGCCCTTGCAGGGGAGCCTAGGCCTGTGGAGGAGCAGCCTTCAGGCTTGACCAAAAGCACTGTGCTCTCTCCTTCTTTCCTTACATCTCAAAATATCTCGAGCTTTATTCCAGGCTTCCTTCCCCCATTCTCTCCTGGGATCCCATTCTGACCTCCTCCCTGTAACAGGGTTCTGGGGCAGGGTATTTTGTCCTCCAACTCCCACACCATCACCCACCCTAGAAAGGAGGACTCGCTAGATCACGGATCCTCTCTCTCCTCCTCCAGGAGGAACGGAGGGTGGTCTAGGAGAACTAATACCAGACCCTACAAATCAGGTAAGCTAAGACGCATGGTTGAACAAGGCCAGGCTTCCAGTGCTCCACCAGCCATGTGCAAACACATCTGTCCTCCTCCCCTCCTCCCCTAGACCATGCCCAAATAAAAGCACCATTTATTGAATTATTTTAATTCTAAGCACTTTATAGACATTACCCATGTAATCTTTCAGTAATTCATTCAAATAAAAAAACTCAAATCAAACTTATTGCCATCGAGTTGATTCAATTCGTGGTGATCCCTCCTTGGGTTTCCGAGGTGGTATCTCTACAGAAGTAGATCGCCCAATCTTTCTTCCAAGGAGTGACTGGTGGGTTTGAACCACCAGCCTTCTGATTAGCAGTCAAATGCCTTAGGCACTACACCACCAGAGCCTATTGTTATTATATTCAATTTACAGATGAGGAAACTGAGATTTGGACAGGTTAAGTGACTTACCTCAGCTAGTGAGGGGCAAAGCTTGGTTTGTAATCCAGTTTGCCCAATTTCATGGTCCTTGTGTCTAACAAAAGGAGCTGCAGTGGTTAAGTGCTGGCCTGCTATTTGGGAGAAAGATGTGGCCTGCTGCTCCCATAAAGATTATAACTTTGGAAACCCTGTGGGCAGTTCTACTCTGTCCTACATGGTCACTATGAGTCACAATTGACTTGATAGCAATGAGTTTGGGTTTTTTTGTTTTCTAACAAAATGTACTCGGTAGCTTAGTGCCTAAGGCACTTGGCTGCTAACCAGAAGGCTGGCGGTTCAAACCCACCAGCCACTCCTCGAAAGGGAGATGGGGCAATCTACTTCTGTAGTGATACTGCCTCGGAAACCCAAGGAGGGGTCGCTATGAGTCGGGTCCAACTCAACGGCACATAACAACAACAAAATATACTTTCTAACAAATATACTTTCTGGCCTCACAGCTCACCAGGGTTGAAAGCACAAGATGTAGAAGACCCAGTTGTAGGGACTTCTATCCTTCTGGTAGTTTTGGGCCACCATTAGGCAGTCTCCCTGGGTTTGGAAGGACAGAAGAAGGCTATACAGACCGCTGAGCCTCAGAGAGTGTCCAAATCTGAAATCGTCACTAATGCACAGTGGATTGGGGACAGATCTGGGAATAAAACCGATGTCCGGATGCCCAATCCTGATTCCTTCTCCACCCTAGCAGGTCAGTCATGCCATACAATGTCAACCACTCTCAGGAGGAACAGTAGCCCTCACAAGGAAGCCACACTCACTACGGTCCCCACTGTGTACCCTCCACAGCCAACGTTTTCAAAGGCTCCTTTCTTATTTTGTATTCTCATATAGAGACAGTGGCTTTGCTATGTCTCACACAAATACACAGAGATTGGTATATTTTTGCAGTGCTCTCGTTTAGCTGTCTCTATTTGATCTACGAGAGCTCTGGTGGCATAGTGCCTAAGGCATTTGACTACTAACCAGAAGGCTGGTGGTTCAAACCTACCAGCCACTCCTCAGAAGGAAAGTTGGGCACTTTACTTCCATAGAGATACCACCTCAGGAACTTGAGGGGTTGCTATGATATCTATACCCATGTGTCATTTTAATGTACAAGTTCCCAGAAAGCGAGGGCATGGTGATATACACTAGAATTACAGAATGACCAAGGTGGAACAGGCCATGTGGTCAACCCTTCTTGTTTGGAAATAAAGAAATTGGAGAGAGATATGACCCACTCAGTGATACCCAGGATGTCAGTGACAGAACTGGGACTGGAGCCTTCCATGAGCTGGCGTCCAGAGCCAGGTCTTCCCTTCAAAGAGGCTTTGGAGGTTACTGGTAGTGATGGCAGCAATGATGCCAACAATGACAGCAATGAAGGGAAGGAAGAGTCTTTCCTTCTGATGTTAGCATTCAAGGGGGGAAGATACCTGCTTGATGAAGGAGGCGGGGTGCTGTGCATGCCTGTAGGGAATTGGGATTTCCCTTTAAGCACTGCTTAGAGAGGCAGGGTGGAGCTTTGGTAGCATAGTGGCTAAGGCCCTTGATTGCTAACCAGAAGGCTGGTGGTTCAAACTCACTCCTCAGAAGAAAGGTTGGGCAATCTACTTCCATAGTGATACCACCTTGGAAACCCAAGGAGGGGTCACTATGAGTCAGGTCCAACTTGACAGCACATAACAACAAGAGAGGTAGGGCAGTGAGGAAAGAAGGGGAACTGTGTGTATGGGGCAGCAGTAGTGGACAAAAAGGAAGGGAAAGGAGACACAACAACAGACTGAACAATTTCTTGGGTAGAACCATGGATGAGGGTTAAGACAGGGAGAGGCCAGCTTAGAGTAAAGAGAAAGGGGGAAAGAGTTGACTTGCGGCTGCTCCTGAAGCAAGAGACCAGACTGGGGCTGGAAGCCAGGAAGAGTGCATCTCTACCTGACCCACCATTCCCCCTGGCCTGCCTAATCTGTCCCAGAGCTACCAGGAACCAATATTGTATTTGTCTCCTTCCCAAGCTGGAGGAAAAGACACAAAACAGAGAAAGAGCAAAGCTCCAGCCTCTGAGTTCCCCATATGTCCTGATGGAGACCTGGAGCTCCTTCCCTAGATTGCAGCCCCACCAAGCTCTAACAGGACACCACTCACCTCCATGAAGGGCACAGCCCGGCAGGAAACATCACCCAGCAGCCTCTGCTTAGTGATCTCATTGAAGATGACAACAGGGAGGCAGAAAAAGAGGACCAGGAAATCCCAGAGGGCCAGGCTTGCGAGGATGGAGTTCCAGGCACTCTTCAGGTAGTAGCTGTGCCACACGATGCACATGACCGACAGGTTGCCCACGATGCCCACAGCAAACACCACCAGGGCCAGGAGCATGATGGCATAAGCACTGTAGGAGCTCTCAGTCACTGGGTACAGGGGGTTCTGGATCTGCAGCCTCCGCCCCGGCGTCCCCGTCAGGTTGCCCCATGGCTCCTGCCCGCTGCCTAGGGTGCCCCCATCCTTGTCTGGGTTGGGGGTAGTGGCCACCAAGAGTTTGGTGGGCTGCAGATCGGCAGGGTGGATGAGCCGGGGGTACTCAGCCCACTCCTCGGGTACATACTGCTGTACCCCTTTAGCCTCGTCATCCTCAGTGCCTCTCTTGGATCGATTCTGCTGCTGCTGGGCTGCTACTTGGCGACTGCTCAGCTCCACTGTTGACACCACAGCTAGTGAGACAGCCAGGGGCCACAGGCACTGCATGTCTGGATGAACAGGAGGCAGCTGCCCCAGAGAGAGAAGGTGAGGGCAGGGGCCCGAGTACCGGGCAGAAACGAGAGCGGCAGCTGGCCCCTTGGTCCGCCTGCAGTCCGGCGTCTGGCATCGCCTGCCTGCTCCAGTAGACTCGAGTGCTCCCTCCCACCCTGCTGGCCATGGGCTGGGCAGGGCCCTCTGCTGGACACAGAGCACTCTTTGCTGCCCTCACTCATCTCACCCACCAGGACGCTCTTGTTCAGGGATCCCAGGACCACAGCATGGCAGACCCAGGGGACCTCAGAGGCCACATGCTCTAAGGCCCTGAAGCCAGAGAGGGAAATTGGCTTGCCTAGCGTCACACAGGTGACTCTGAGTGGTGCAAATGGTTAATACCTCAGCTGCTAACCAAAAGGTTGGAGTCTCAGAAGAGGTGCCTCAGAAGAAAGGCCTGGAAATCTACTTCTAAAATATCAACCATGGAAAACTCTATGGAGCACAGTTCTACTCTGACACATGTGGGGTCACCATGAGTTGGAGATGACTCAATGGTAACTGATAGGGTCACACAGTGACGTAGGAACAGACCAGAACTGAGGCCTGGTCTCTGATTTCTCCTGCAGGAGACCAATCTAAGGCAGCTGCTACATTTGAAACTAGGTAATAATGCTCACCATCACTTTTTGAACACTTACTAGGTTCCAGCACCCAGCGATTTTTCAGTTAACCCTCACAGGAGCTCAATGGTATGAGTGTTGTTATAATTATCACTGTTCAGATTAGGAATCAGGGGGTAGAAGTTAGTCACTTGCCGCATAGCTAGTTCATGACTGATCAAAACCCAGGACCTGGATCTAACTCCAGAGTCTGTGCTTGGAAATCAGTACTGCTCTCAACAGGCAAGAGCCGTGTCCTACCCACACAAGCTCTCCACCGAAAGCAATAACAAACAGAATTTTATAACCCCACATTCTGACCTAGACATGGGATGGATGTACATTTGCAATAACAAATATATACCGAGCACCTGCTGTGTTCTAGACACTCAGTCTGTGTAAAAGGTAGACCTCTGCCACCAAGGAGTTCGCAGTCTAAAGGAGGAAAGAAACATGTAAATAAATCATTATAATTCAGCATGATGGATGCTGTGAAAGGCAAGGGTTTGGAGCTGAGAGAGCCCAGAGGAGCCAGGGGACTCTGAAAGGTCTCTCAGATGAGAAGGTGATATTCGAAGGGACCCTGAAAAATGACTGTAAGTTTCCCAGAAGAGCAAAGAGAGAGGAAGGGGGCTCCAGACAGAATACACAGTCTGTACAAAGGCACAGAGACGTTCCCAATACAGACTACAACATGGGTGAACTTTGAAAACATTATGCTGAGTGTCATGGATCAAATTATGTCTCCCCAAAATATGTGTCAACTTGTCTGGGCCATAATTCTCAGTGGTTTGGTGGTTATGTAATGATATAATCACCACCACCCCCTGCCATGATGTGCTCTGATGTGATCAGCCAATCAGTTATAAGGGGATTAGGGTGGTATGCAACACCCTCACTTAAGTCATAGTCCTGATCTGAAGTAAAAGGAGTTTCTTTGAGGTGTGGTCTGCATCTCCTTTGATCTTACAAGCAATAAAAGGAGACAGAAATGAGTAGAAAAAGGAGGGACCTACTACCATCAAGAAAGAAGAGCTGAGAGTGAACATATCCTTTGGACCTGGAGTCCCTGCACTGAGAACCTCCTAGACCTAGGGGAAGATTGATCCCAAGACACATGGAGATCTCCAAGGAATGTCAGGCCCACAGATATTGTAAGGAGACAAGGACCTTCCCCCAGGAGCCAACAGAGAGAGAAAGTCTTTCACTAGAGCTAGCACCTTGAATTTGGACTTCTAGCCTCCTAAACTGTGAGGGAACAAATTTCTGTTTGTCAAAGCCACTCACTTGTGGTATTTCTGTTACAGGAGCACTAGAGAACTAAGACATTGAGTGAAATAAGTCAGTCACAAAAGAACAAATATTGTATAATGTAAATATTATATGATGACCTGTCTGGAAAATATAGTTAGTGTATAAAGTCTAAAGTTTATTAGTGGTTACCAGGGGCAGATGAATAAAGAGGATTCAGTGCTAAGGGGACACTGAGTATTTATTAAGTGCGATGGGAAAAATTTGAAAATGGTGATGGCTGAACAACATGATGAGTGTGTTTGATGTCACTGAACTGTACGTGTGAAGACTGTAGAAATGGCAAATATTCTACCTATATACTTACCACAACTTTTTTTTAATTAAAAAAAAAAAAAAAAAGAACATCAAAAGAGAAGAAAAAGGCACAGAGGTGTAAAGTGGGAGGATGTACCTGAGAGAGAGCAAGCAGGTCAAGGTGGCTGGGATGCAGGGAGGGCAGGAGAGAGCGTGGGAGTTTGGAGCAGGCAGGACACTTGGAGAGGTCAGTAGAAGAGGGGCCAGGAAGGACTTTGTATGCCAGGCTCAGGAATGGAATTTTCTCCTGAAGACAACTGAGAGTAACGAAGGTGATTAAACAGAGAAACAGTGACCAGACCAAATTATTTTACAGGGACCCCTATTTAGCAGCTGGGAGGATGACAGCCTGGAGCAGTGGAAGGCAGGGGCAGAGGGACCTGTTAAGAGGCGACAGTCTGGATGATGAGAGAAGCCCAGATTCGAGAAAAACTGGCCATTAGTACTGAGCAGCTTTGGCTGTACATGGGAGGGTGGGTCAAGGCTGACCACCAGGTACTGGGTGGACAGTAAACCCACTCACTGTGCAGGAAACATGAGGAGACCCTGGTGTGAGGAAGAAGGATACACTCGGGTGGAGGTGCGGGAGAGAATCATCTGCAGCCCTTACAAAGGCTAGAGCTGGGTGTGGAGACCTAGGGGCTTCAGCAGAGCACACAGTGGGGGTGGGGGTGGGTCATGCTGCTAGGCAGTGTGTGGAGTGTGCAGAGGGAGGTGCAGCACCCTGTACTGGGCTGAATGGTGTCCCTGTCAAATTCATGTTCTCCCAGAATGAGAATGTGACCTTACTTAGAAATAGCATATTTGTAGCTATAATCAATCTTACTGGATTAGGGTGATGTTCTGGTTACCTAGTGCCACTCTGACAAGAAATATACCACAAATGGGATGGTCTTAACAAACAGGAGTTTATTCTCTTACAGGTTGGAGGCTTTAAGTCCAAGTTCAAAGTGCCAGGCTCCAGGGCTGGGTGAAAGCCCCTCAATCTTGGGCTTCAGTTCTGCCTCTTGCTCCCGGCCCACTGAAGTTAGAGGTTTTCTTCACTCAGACAGCTGCTGGCTGCTGAGGCTAACAAGCCCAAGGTCAACAAATAAAATGGCACAGTCCCGATGTTACCAAACCACACAGCAGTCCATTAACTCAAGTCTCTTGAAAGTCCCAAGGTCAGCAGAGCATGGCAGGCTGCTGAACAATGACACGGCTGCATGCAGGGTTCAAGCGTGCCATGGGCTAGAGATTGTTCCCCAAGGCTTTTCCTTATATACAGGAACCGAACCACATCCCTAAGGCAGCTACTCAGCTTCTCACAGTAGATTCCACCATTGAATTGATTACCAGTCTCATCATTGGGAATACTACATCCAACTGCCCAGCCACTCAACCAGGCCTAGCCAAGTTGACACAAAAACATAACCACCACACTTGGGTCCTAGATAGGTCTAGTGTCCTTATAAGTGAGAAATTTGAACACAGAAACACAGAGGAGAAGGCCATGTGAAGACAGAGGCTGTGACCTTTCAGAAGTACATTGCTAGATCTTTCTTCCAAGGAGTGTCTGGGTGGGTTCGAACTGCCAATCCTTTAGTTAGTACTTAAGTGTTTAACCATTTGTGCCACCCAAGGAAGAGATGAAACACAGAGAGACAGAAAGAGGAGAGATGGCTATATGGAGATGCATCTACACACCAAGGAATGCCTGGGCACTACCAGAAGCTGGGTGTGATAGTTGAGGTTGTGTGTCAACTTGGCTGGGCCATGATTAAATGGTTTAGCAGTTATAATGGGGTTACAATAGAGTCATCCTCCATGATAAGATCCAATATAATGTAATCACCTCTATGACATGATCTGCTATGAGCTGTCAATCAGTTGAAAGGGAGTTTCCTCTGGGGTGTGCACTGATTCTAATATATGGACATCCTGGCAAAGATCTCTGGCTTTTTGCTCAATCTAGATCTTGTAGCTGGCTTGTCATCATCTGACCTCTGGTTGTTGGACTTGAACCAGTGGCCTGCCATATTATCTGCTAATCTGAGGATTGTTGCCTTCTCAGACTGTGAGCCAACAACCTGCCATCTTATCTGCTGATCTTAGATTCATCAGCCTCCAAAGCCAGCAGCCTCCTGTATTGTCTGCCAATCTTGAACTTGTCAACCTCTGTAGGTACATGAGTCAGAAGAAGCCTCCAGCTTGACGTGTGACCCACAGACCCACAGACTTGGGACTTGCAAGCTTCTACAACTGTGTAAGCCATTTCCTTGAGATAACTCTCTCTTCTCTCCTCTCTCCTCTCTCTCTCTCTCTCTCTCTTTCCTACTAACACCCTGAATTTGGGCTCCTAGTCTCCAAAACTGTGAGGCAATAAATTTCTATTCTTATAAGCCACCCAATTTGTGGTATTTTGTTACCATAGCCCTATTTTTGTTGTTAGGTGCTGTCAAGTTGGTTCCACCTCATAGTGACCGTATATACAACAAATTGAAACAATGCCTGGTTCTGCACCATTCTCACAATCATTGCAATGTTTGATCCCACTGTTGTAGCTACTGTGTCAATCCATCTCATTAAGGGCCTTGCTCTTTTTGCTGGCTCTCTACTTTACCAAGCATGATATCCTTCTCCAGGGACTGGTCCCTCTTGATAACATGTCCAAAGTACATGAGATAAAGTTCTGTTATCCTTGCTTCTAAGGAGAATTCTGGCTCTACTTCTTCCTAGACATTTGTTTGTTCTTCTGACAGCCCA